TCCATAGGAGGATATTTTTTTTGGAATAAGTAACATTTGCAAAGAATGGAATATTTTACTTTAGAGAGGCGTTGATGACCTAGGGTTTTATGTCTTAAAGCCTAAATAAACAAATTTTGCTTTAGATAAAATAGCCATAATTGGAAAAATGAAAGTCAGAATGGCACAAGGTATAGAGGGCATCATCAATACCAATTTAAAGTAATATCTCACAGTTGTGCATTAACATTTCTAAAAGCAAAAAAAATTAAACGTAAGAATTACACGATTTTTTTTTTTCATGAAACATAAGTATAAAATACTATTAAAATCATTATTTTTTTTTGTTACTTAAATACGGTAAAAATCAATTTCATGACAGAGATCTGTGTAAAAAACAAAACAATGATTAACCTTCGATAACAAATTTTTGTAAAAGCATTTTTTTTTTTTATCAATAAAAGTGTACTTCTTTCACTAGGCATTGCAGGTCACAGGAAGACTATTAATTAAAACTTTGTAATCATTTATAGTTATTTTTGGTAAAAATACGGGTGCTCTAGGGTAAAGGAATATCAAAAAACATAATTTTTTTAGGCAACTAAAGATAAATCTCAACTTATTCTGTAACAAACCTTAACAAAATTGATATGCACTTAAAGCATATTAAACAAGGAAGTTTTTATAAAAGTAGGGTATCTGCAGCTCTGTTAGAATCGACAAAAAAAAAAAACCTTGCGTAATCCATGATTTTATGAAAAACAGAACTTAGCGTAGTTTAACCACTTAAAAGTTCTCTTTAAATGGTTTTGACAAAAACAAAATCTACTTGCTTTAAAAAGAAATTGCATCTGTAATGCTGTAAAGTAATTGTCAATTATCTTAATCAAATGTTTTTGAGTTATCCCTTTCTATTCAAGAGAAAATGTGCCTTACTTAAAATACAAAACTTAAATTCCCTGAACAAAATTAGACCATAGCTTATGTAAACTTTTTTTAGCTTATAAGGTCTAATATCACCTCTTTAATTCTCTTAACTTACAGGACTTCCTGTATATTTTCTGTATTTGTACATTTTTTAAATTATTTTAAAATCAAGATATTTTGGAAATAACAATTTTGCATTATGAAATAATTTAGTTCAAAAATAAACAAATGTGAAATAGTATCTAACAAATGATTAATTTAGAAAAATATCATTTTGAAATAAATAACTTTATTTCAAAGAATGTTTAAAATGTCCAAATTTAATTATTTCAGAAATAAATAGATTAGTTAATTGATTGAGGTTATTTATTGGTAAAATAAAATAATATTTCAGAAATAATTATTAGTTGGAAAAGAAATAATTTCATGAAATAAAATTCAATTTATTTAAGAATTAAATTATTCCAAGAGAGCTTGTGTCTATTTTAGATACCCTTGCAAATAATGGAGAGCAGTGCTATTATTTAATGGCAATGGGCACCTTTGGCGTTCCATAACATCCTTAATGAATATATTGCTTTTTACACAAATAGTTCCTAAATAATTAACTACTTTTAGAAAATAAATTGCTCCTAATGCTGACAAAACAATTTTAAAATGTTGATGTAGAGATGGTTGACCGTTGATATGATATGAGAAGGAATTAGTCGAGGGTGCGGTCAAAAAAAATTAAAAAAAAAATTAAAATATATAAATAATTTTAATTTTTGCCGACGTTTCGACCCACTTTGCAGGTCGTCTTCAGGGCGTTGGATGTGGCACTGCGGGAGGCAGTTGAAACACTGCTATACACGCAGTGTTTCAACTGCCTCCCGCAGTGCCACATCCAACGCCCTGAAGACGACCTGCAAAGTGGGTCGAAACGTCGGCAAAAATTAAAATTATTTATATATTTTAATTTTTTTTAATTTTTTTTTACCGCACCCTCGACTAATTCCTTCTCAAATTTTAAAATGTTATTTAGGTAACATGAACAACAGGTGTTAAACTTTTTTTTCTTATTACTAACAAGTCAACAACTTACCAACTAGACCTACTCAGAGATGAAAAATCAATACTATAATTGGAATAATTGTAAAGATACCATAATAAACTTTTTTATGAATGTACACTCGCTTGAGTGTAGATAGATAGATAGATAGAAAGTAAACTTTATTCTGGGACAAGGTCCCTTATGAATAACAGATATGAACAAAAAAATTAAAACTACATCTGGCCAAAAATTACATTAATCAATATTAAAGAATATATACAGTATCTTCAGTGAAATTAAATTAAAACAAGTAAAAATAAAATAAAATTTTGAGAAAAAACAAAATAAAAAAAAACAACAATATTTAAATGAAAATAAAAATAAAATAAAATAAGCATGGGTTGATTTTTAAAATTAAGACAATAAATTTTATCAATCATTCACCTCAGTCAAAATCTGTTTCACAATATTTATTTTATTGTATAACGTCATTTTGGGATGTGAGAAGGAATTGGTAAAGATGATATTTAAATGAGGACAAGGAAGAGGCATGACGGATTTCAGATGGCAAGGAATTCCAGAAGGCTGTGGATCGGGAAATAAAGGAATATTCAAACGTCTTAGTTCTATGGGAAGGGATATAAAGGTCGGAAACACGGGATCTTGTTTTCTGGGAGTGGACCACGGGTTTAAACTGTAGGAGACTGTAGATGTAAGAAGGGTGTCTAGTGTTGATTGTTTGGAATAGGAAAGATCCGAGGAAATATTGTCTGCGGAAAGAAGGGAAGAGCCACTTTAACTCGTCGTAAAGGTGGGACACATGAGATCGCTTTGATGTACCGAAGACAAATCTTAAGCACGTATTCATGAGTCGCTTCAATCTATCCTCGAGTACCATCGGGATGCCTCCGTACACCACACAGCCGTAGTCAAAGTGGGGGAAAATGAGAGAGGATACAAGGAGCTTGCGGATGGGTTGTGGGAGTAGGTGGCGGGAGCGATGAAATAGCTTAAGGGTACCTATTGACTTACGGGAGATGAGGGCAATATGGGGTTTCCAGGAGAGGTTTTCGTCTATGGTGATTCCTAGGTTTTTAACGGATGAACTGAATGTGACAGGATGATCGTTGATGACTAAAGGAGGAAGGAAGGAGATGGATTTAAGAATAGGACTGGAACCTATAATAATGGCCTGAGTTTTCATCGCATTTAGATTTAAATTATTCAGACTTGCCCAGGCACTGATCCTATCTAGGTCTGAATAGTGGCGAACGCGACTAGTAGCTCAGAAGGATGAAAGGAAAAATATATTTGGGTGTCATCAGCGTATAAATGATGTGAACAGTGGTAGATGGATTTGGAAAGATCATTTATGTAGGAGTTGAAAAGGAGAGGGGAAATGCTCGAACCCTGGGCCACTCCAGAGGACAGTGTAAGAAAGGAAGATAGGGGTTGGTTTGGAATGCTGACTGCTTGAGTTCTGTCGGATAGGAAAGACTGTAACCAGAGGATAGAGCTGTTGGAGAAGGATAGAGATTTTAATTTCGTATAGAGTATAGAGTGGTCTAAGGAGTCAAAAGCTTTGGAAAAGTCGAGAAGTATTAATACAGTTAACATTTTTTCGTCCATTGCGGTATGTAAGTCATTGGTAATTTTTAGTAGGGCGGATTGTGTGGAGAAGCCAGGTCGGAAACCAGATTGGAGAGGATCGAGTAGTTTTGAGTTTTCAAGGAATTTAGAGATTTGGGATTGAGCTATTCTTTCCAGAGGTTTAGAAAGGTTAGAAAGAATGGAGATTGGGCAGTAGTCTTTAGGAGAGGTAGGATTGGGAATTTTGTTGATAGGTCTGACTAATGCTTTTTTCCAAGCAGTTGGAAAAACTGAGTTCTGGAGGGAAAAATTATAGATGAAAAGGAGAACTGGAACGACTTCGGGAAGGCATAATTTTAATAGTTTGACTGGTATCCCATCAAGTCTGATGGAGTTTGTGTGTGATTTCATTATAGAGGAAATAAGGTCGGTCGGTGAGATGTTGGAGAAATAGAAATTATCACTGTTAAATGAGGGTGATAAGGAAAACTGGTGAGAGGTGGGTGAACTGTTGCTGGTGGTGGAAGATATAAAGTAGGAATTTAGTTCATCGGGTGATACCGGGTAGAACGGTGAGGAAGAGGATTTACAAAGAGAGAGTTTACGAAGGGTTAGCCATATTGATTTAGAATCAGGAGCAGAAGCGAGAGTTTCGTGAAAGAAGTTTGATTTCGCTTTCCTGATCGTTGTTTGTGTCAAGTTACGGAGTACCCTATAGACTTGATAGTCATCTGCTAGTCGAGTTCGTCTGAAGCGTCTACGGGCTGCCTCACATCTCTTTTGCATGTCGCGGATTTCTTGACACATCCAAGGAGCAGGTTGGCGACGGAAGGTTGAGGTTTTGATAGGAGCACGTATGTCAAGAATATGGATAAGATTAGAAGTGAGGATGTCTACCATATGATCAATAGAGGTACAGGAATAAATATCGTTCCAGTTTAGGGTTTCAAGGTCCGGTAGGATTTTATCACGGATTGTGTACTATGTATATATTAAAAATTTATAATTTTTAAATCTATTCAATAATTAAAACAAGTTGCTTTGAATACAATACGACAACAGAACAAATTATAATAAATAAAATCAATCAAAACATACCTACAATTTAGAGGGAATTCATTGACTGTTCAAAATAAAAACTTCAGCTAACAGTACATTACAATACAGTAAATATAATAATGAACAATATTTTATAAATATTGCTGATAAGAAAATTTATATTTTCTGAAAATGTATATATTTATTTGTATGTAAGTATACAAAAGAGAAAAAATATAAAAAACAATAGACAATAAATAAGTTTAACATGATACTATTGATTTAAAGTAAACAAAAAACTAATATTAATTTATTCAGAGATCACTACTAATACAAAAAACAGAAGATTTATAAGATTGTTTATTTTAATGCAATTCAAATAATATGTTCTAATATTATGATGAAGCTCAGAAATTATAAAAATATAAATTACTTGAGTATAATGGCGTAACAAAACTCCTTTTTCTTCTAAAAGTTTTATAAAGAAGTGAGATTTAGTTGGGCGATACTCTCCAGGCAACAAATCGCTAGCCAGTTCATAAAATGGCTCTGGGTGCTCTTTGAAATAGGCAAGTTCAAAAATAGCCTGTGGATAAGGCAGGTTGTATTTTTTTAAATTGTGATATATTCCCGTTCCAGGTGACCTGAAATCTGGGATTCCAGCAGCTGAAATTCAAAATAATATATATTTAAATATATATAAGTCATAATAGTTCTAAGACTAAGAAGCCAATAAACTCTTAATAATTACAAAAGGTCTCTGGTTTCTAAATCCATCATTTATAAATTGTATGTGAGTGTGTGCTGAGATAAACAATAATACAATATTATGATTTTTCATGATGTAGAGATAGTTGACCGTTGATATAATATGAGAAGGAGTTGATCGGGGGGTGTGGTGTGGGGTAAATTAATACTAAATTAAATAAGTAGAATTATTTAATTTAGTATTAATTTGACCGCACCTCCCGATCGACTCCTTCTCATATTATGATTTTTCAACAGTCAAAACTATACTTCTCTGTCTGTATATTTTTAATGAACTGTATAACAAAGAATTTGATACAAATAGAAGATGTTAATACACCAATCTTTTTATTTAAGGTTTAGCAATTAAGTAGGTAGAGCAATTATACATGTTGAAAATTGACAAGTTCAGATACATACCTGTTGAAATTCCTGCACCAACCATTGTGACAATGTTACGACATGGTTTTTTTCTAATATACGCCACTATACCATCCATAGAAAGGTCACTTAATATCTAAAAAAAAAAATAATTCATATGCATATAGATGTGCACATGAATACATACATTCACTGTTAAAAAATGTCTTAATTTTTTATAAGTTGATTATTCATCTAATGGTAATAATTCAAAGTGGTTAGCTGAATATTGAATAATTAAAGGCATATCTTCTCTTAACTTACCTCAACTGATTATTATCAGATATAACAGACCGAGTACACTGCAATAGGGCTCCTAAGAGCAATCGGTAGGCAGAAAAGTGGATTATAACATACAGGGTATCCCGTAACTATAGAGAAATATTTAAAAGAGTGATATCATCAAGACATCAAGAGCTATAAAAAAGTTTAAATAAAGTGGTCTTGATTTCCACAGAATACAAGGAAATTATTTAGGTTTTTTTAAGTAGTACGTCATGTACTTTGTTTGTTGAATACGACACGACAACTAAAAAATCTGGTGCGCGCATCACACGACTTTCACTTATCACCTGCTTCTTAGCAGAAATAAGTATTTTCAGACAAAGAGGAAGTGAAAGTAATTATTATTATTATAAATAAATTATTATTATTATAAAAATTAAAATAAAAAAGTTTGAGATACTTCTCCTTATATCAGTACACTGCATTTAGGATCGCTTGTGCACACCCTTTTGTCAACTTATATAACGTCCCAGAGACACCCAGCTTAGTCAAGATCTTCCAAAGACAGTTTCTGTTCATAGAATCATACATAGGCTGCTTTGAATTCAACAAATAAGGCAAATACATCTTTATCTACTTCCCATTGTTTCAAGTACCTGTTTTAGGATGAAGATCTGGTCTAGCATGCTCTCCTTTTACTGCACCCTGCTTGATGGTCAACTTTTATATTTTAATAATGATATAACCAATTTATTAGGATATTAGACATTATCTTATAGGCAACAGGGAGAAGTGCTAAGCCTCTATAAATTGATACATGGAGCCCTTCTTAACGATAAGACAGATCAGGCCTTTGTTCCAAGTCTTTAGTATCTGTTTCTTCTCTCATATTATCTGGATTAGTTCTAACAGCTAGTCTCTTAGGTGTTCTACCCCATACTTAAACAGTTTTGATGGTAGATTGTCAACCCCAGAAGCCTTTTTTTTCTTTCAAGGATGGCAATAATTATTTCCACATCTAGAATATCAGGTTTTCCAATCTCAAGTGGATTTTAAAATTATCTCATTTCTTATCATTCATTACTGCATAAAAGTTTTTGAGAAATTATACTTAAAGATTAGGCCATCCTTAACATTTGCAGATCTAGAAAGTTTCTAATCTATATATAAATATTTATTAACTGACAAATGATTCAATTTCATAGAAAGTTATTTTGAAAGGTATATGTTTGTCAATTGCAAATATACCCATGCTAGAAATGTTAAATTTAATTTAACATAAAAATAAAGACATAAAATAACTTTTAAAATTGAAAAGGACAATTATCTTTCTTCTTATTTTTTCTCTTCCTCCTCTTGTGCCTTTCAGCATGACTATGCCTCGATCCATGAATCCCAAGTTTTTCGGTCCAGTGCTAGAGCCTTCATGTCCTTTAGTTGTAAACTTCTTTTTTGCCTGATCTTGGAGAAATACTTCATCCATGATAATCTAACTATGGGTCTTGCCTGTATGAATTTTTGTGGGCCACGGTCTTCATTCATTTGACATAAATTCCCAAAAGATATGAATTGCCTCTTTTCTAGGGAATCTTTTACTTAGGCAGTGCCTAATTAACCCATTCATATATGAGTCGAAAGGAAACCTGACCCCAGCGACGGTGGACTCATATATGAGTCTGGACAGGATTGATTGAGGATCCTGCAGGACTCTTTCTTGTTAAATGATGGGGTGTTCAGTGATCAATTTTACTGTCAAACTATCTCGCAACCTTTCCATGAGGCAGTAGGTAGATTTCTGTGGCTGGAAATTATAGACAATTTGGAATGATTCTCTAAACAAAAACACTAAAGCGATCAGTAGAGGTGATGAAAAGTATTCTGTTCTAGGGGTATTGAAAGTTCAGCTAGTACTGTCCTCAAGGCCACTCCACCCTTCCCATTCATCGCCACTAAAAGGTTAAAAAGGACAATTGTACATAATGAAAACATTAATTTATTGTGAAATGAAAAAATCATTTGTTCAATTATGAATGTAAGCCTCAATATTTTATCATATTTAACTGCATTCACTTTTTTTCATTTTTAAGGCATATTATTTTGGTATATTTGAATGGGTTTTTTTGTGGCATTATAAATCCAGGCCTTATTTATGACTATCAATGTCTACTCCTAACCATTTGGTTTTAACTGGCTAAATTTATAACTGTGCATTACTTTCTGTCAAATCCTAAATAAAATGCATTTCTAAAAAAGTGATATGTTTTGAAAGGAGTATGATAAAATTAGATCAGAAATAATTTGATACATTAAATCTATTGTGGAGGCATCTACTAAAGATATAAAAAAAAGACAAAGAAAACTAAAAGATTCAATATGTGGAGTCAATCAAAAGTATCAGACAAAAAAGAGATTCTGTTATTTTATATTTGATTATATTATGGTTGACTTTTATTTATTAATTTATAAATTGAAAATATATTGAGAACATTTCAACTTGTGACCAAATGCCCCCAATAAATAAATATATAAATATATAAATATATATATATATATATATATATAGAGAGAGAGAGAGAGAGAGAAAAATAAATCTCAGAATTGGCATGACTGGCTGAGGATTGCAAGGGAAGCCTTGGACTGTGGAGTCACCATATTTATATAAATATGTTACCTACCTCACCAGCACACCTCAGAACTGGAGTGGAAGCCACATACACCACACACTATCTTCCTTAAACCCGCATCAGCGGTTAAAGGGTTAATTATTTGAAGTTTTCCCCTATTTTCATCTTTTACTCGGCCATGATCAAGGCCTAAAACAGGCTGAAACATTGGCAAACAAGAAAACAAAGCTCTCTACTCTATTTGTATGAACTTCCATCTTTGACCTCACCCCCAACCAACGCCTCCTGCTATTTTATTTACAGCCAACAATACCTCCACAATACCACTACAGTTAAAATTATCATTTTAAAATACAATCCTTATCAGAGGCCTTGTAAATAACATAAAAACATAACATAACTGATACTTGTCAAAACAATCTAACCTTAACAATGATGACAGCCTTCTTAATAAATAATTCTCAAACACTGGATTCACTAACTGAATCAATGACTAATTAGAACCAAACTAACTCACTTTTCAATTGTATCTTCAACTATTAATAACTGAACTTCAGATATATACTGAACTTGACTCTAACTGAGTTGCTGATCATTAGTATGATGATCTTTAAATAGCCAGGTCATTCCGTCAAATCTCAATAGTTGAAACTATTGTGATACTTGATTTTTATTTATTTATTTAATTTAATGGAATCTTTTGGTCAGGTGTAATTTTTTTAATGTATAACTTTATTATCCTTAACCATAATAATGGATCAATCAGCTGATACGGAAAGTTGTAATGCCAACTTCTATCTATCTATCTATCTTAATGGCTCTACAACCCTTAGTGGGTCCTGGCCTCCTCAACGAGCTTCCACCAAATTTCTCTATTCTGTGCGGCCATTTTTTCAATTTCTGACTCCCATCAAGTCTCTCACATCACCTGCTACACCATCTGCCCATCTCAATTTCGGTCTGCCAGCTCTCCTTGTATAGTGTGTAAAGGTTCTTCAAGCACTCTTATCGGGATTTCAGACCTCTTCATCCGAGCTATATGTCCTATTCAACTTAATCTTCCTAATTTTATCATTTTTGCCACATTAGGTTCATTAAACAATTAGTAGACCTCTCTATTCTTCCGAATTCTCCAATCCAGTCCATCCTTTACAGGGCCAAATATTCTTCTAAGGATTTTCCTTTCAGAGACCAGAAGGTCTTTTTCGTCATTTTTGGCTAAGGTCCATGTTTGGCTACTGTAGGTAAGAACTGGCCGGATGTTCGTTTTATAGAGCTGTAGCTTTGTTGGTCTACTAAGTAGTGAGCTTCTCGTGTGCTTAAGTAGGCCAAAATAGCATCGGTTGGCAGCTGCTATTCTCTGCTTTATTTCAAATGTCATCACATTAGTTGTCGTAATTTGAGATCCCAAATAAGAGAACTGTCGGACATTCTCAAAGGTGAAGGGCCTAGAAATATTCTTTGATTTTGGGGATTCTCTCCTTCTCCTGTATACATATATTTTATTTTATTCTCATTAATATGGAGCTCCATCTTAGCTGCAGCTTTTTGCAATTCAAGAAAGGTACCTTCGAGAGCTGCAAAGGACCATGCAACAATATCAATGTCGTCAGCATAACCTAACAGTTGCACGATATTTGTAAATATCATGCCCTAGTCTGAATGCCCCGAGTCCCTCACCACCTTCTCCAGAGCCAAATTAAACAATAAACATGCCAAAGCATCACCTTGTCTCAGTCCTTTATTGGTAGGAAACTCCAAGGAACATTCCGAATGAATGCGTACTCGACACTGTACGTCCTGCATTGCCATTTTAACCAGACAAATTAGTTTAGAGGGAATGTTTAGTTCTTCCATTGCTTCATACAACTTGTATCTCTTTATAGTATCGTAGGCGCTCTTGAAGTCAATAAACAGATGATGGATGGGAATTTTCTACTCATGACTACTTTCTAGAATCGTTTGGAGAGTAAATATTTGATCAATAGTTGATCTACCCTTTCGAAAACCAGCTTGGTATTTTCCAATTTGACAATCAGCGAATGGGGCTAGTCTGTTAAACAGGATATTGGAGAGTATCTTATATGCGCATTGCAATAACGAAATTCTTCAGTAGTTGGCGAATTCCAATTGTTCTCCTTTTTTGTGTACAGGATATATGACCGCATATTTCCATTGAAGAGGCATTCTTTCCTGTATCCAGATGGAGAATATCATATCATAAATGAGCTTATGTAGCTCTTCGCCACCATATTTAAATAGCTCAGGTGGAGTCCATCACCTCCTGGTGCCTTATGATTTTTCATCTGTGCAATCGCATCCTGGATCTCTTCAAGCTGAGGGGGTTCTATTTCTATATCATCGAGCATGATATTATTATGGATCCCAGAATCCTGCTCTGATTGAGCCGCTCCCTCATTCAATAGGTCATTAAAACGTCTAGCCCATCTTTTAAGTACTTCATTCTTATTAATGAGAAGTGAACCATCCTCCTTTCTGCATGATTGAAGTCTTAGCCTACAAGGGATCCTCCTTTTCTTAACTTTTTGGAAAAACATTCTATTGCCATTAATATTCCTCAGGGTCTCCACTTGTTCAAGCTGTTTATTCTCCCATTCTCGTTTTTTCTTTCTATGGAATCTCTTTTCAACTTTTCTTTCCATTTTATATTTTTCTGTCGCCTGCCTTGTATACCGCTTCTGTACCATCAGGCTGAAGGATATGTTCTTTGCCTCGGTTACCCTCCTATATTCTTCATCAAACCACGGGGATCTCCTTTCAGGATCTTTAAATCCAATAGCCTCTGCTGTCTTGGTTAGGACTGTTTCCAGACCATTCCATGCATCCTGAATATTATCTAAATTGACGGTGCGTAGTTTATCAGTCATTCCTTCCCTTCATCTCGCCGTTTTTGAAAGGATGTGAGCGTATCAGCTTCTTTCAGTTTCAATATATTTTACCTCTTTTGTGCTGCTGATTTACTTATTTTTACATTAGAGATTCTCGCCCTAATCAGAGCAATGATCAAATAGTGGTCAGAATCTACATTTGCACCCCTATATACTCTATTGGTTATTAGATTAGTTCTATGTCGCGCACTAATTAGCAGATGGTCCAGGTGATTGAATGTATTTTCATCAGGTGATTTCCATGTGGCCTTATGGATTCGTCGTCCCGAGAATACTGAGCTTCCTATAATTATGTTTCGAGATGCAGCAAAATTTACAACTCTTTTCCCATTTCCATTGCACTCTTCATGGATACTGTGGAGGCTAATGGTTGGTATGTATATTTCTTCCTTCCCGATTTTAGCACTAAAATCCCCCAACAGGATCTTTATGTCACTCCTAGGGCATACGTCATGAGCTTTTTCTAATGTGTGGTAGAAGTTCTCCTTCTCCTCTTCACTCGATACTTCGGTAGGAGCATGACAGCTGATAAGGCTGTAATTATAAAACACTCCTTTGATACGAAGGGTACAAAGTCATTCATTAATGGGAGAGAATCCAATAACTTGGTGTCTCATTCGCCCTCTCACTATGAATCCAGTTCCGAACGTATGTTTCTTTCTGTGGCAGCTATAATAGATGGTGTGGTTCTTCTTCTCAATAAGACCACTGTCCACCCTATAGGTGTCCAATTCTGTTAGGAGTACTTAAAGTCCTTCTGGTCTGTATAACGATAGGATATTTCAATATCCTAGTCTAAAGTCCATTTTACATTTTCCATGTCTATTACCATTGATCAGTCCGGCTTTATTTCTTTGAGGTCTCATAATAGTTTATATTTAAGGAGAGCAGGTTACTACCAACTTAGGTCTCAGAATTTACTGATTTTTGAAGAATCTCTATTATTATTCACGTAAAATAGGTCAAGGGTACACCAGAAGAATTTATATTTACTCTGTACAGTTATAATTTTTTTTTTATATCCCATGGTTATGACTAGTAGGGTATCTAATAACAGAACTAAGTTGTTAGGCTCGACACCATTATCTTCTCCTGCCAAACAAAAATCTGGTTTAACACCTCCATTGACCCCTGTTAGTCCAAAGAACATGAAACTCAGCCAAGTACACCACCACAAGAGACAACTAAAGAACCTCAGCCTCAATCAGGTACATCTTCACAAGAAACGGCAGAAGTATCCCCTATTTTTTAAAACCAATCCCAATCAGGTGCATCAGAATGACATAGAAGTAATGGAGTCTCATCGAAACCTAGAGGTCCCCGACCTCTCCCGATATTGGTTAGGAACATGTCCTCAACTAAAGAAAATAGTAACTAAAAAATTAATAGCTCTGGAAGCTACTCATTTCTAAGTAAAACAAATAATCCCAAAATATCACTAGATACAGCTGAGACCTACCGAAAAATTGTCAATTATCTAACAGAGACCAAAATGGATGTTCACACGTATCAATTGCGGCCGAAGCAAGCTATAAGAATAGTTATAAGAAACCTACACCCATCAACAACAACTGAAACGATAGAAGAAGAACTGAAAACTTTAGGCTATAAAGCGTGCTAGTAACAAATGTTCTTAAAGAAAGTAAAGAACAGCCAAGAGTAAAAGTTCGACTCCCCTTATTTTTTATAGACTTGAAACAGATTGCAGGGATAAAAAAAATATACAAAATAAGAAAATTAAACTACACAAGTGTGAAAGTATAAAAGCCATATCCAAAGAGGGATATCGTCCAGCGCCACAATAACCAGGCATATGGCCACACTGAGACATGTTGCCACCATTTACTATGTTGTCTGAAAAGCGATGGACAATAGAAAACAGATAAGTGAACAAAACTGAAACAAGCTCCTGTATTTCATGCTTTGTGCCTTGAAGGACATCCGGCGAACTACAAAGACTGCCAGATATACAAGAGTATCAAATCCAGATAGTAGAAATCCCTGTACCAAGAAGAAACAGAAAGATCCGGATCAAGAAAAGAATCTACCAAAATCATAGACTCGAAGGTGTCTTTTGCACACTTACTAGGAGGTAAGAACGAAATTACCAATTGTGAGATCATGCCACAACCTTAATATAAACTTCAAAATTCTAAATCCCACCCTCAACATCCTACTACTCAAATTTCACCTATTCCTCAACAATTCTATCAACACCTAATTCCTCACATTCCTCCTAACAGAATTATCAATAAACAATTGAATAAGTGATTATCCTTAAGGGACTTTATTCCAGAATAGTTATTTTTATATTATATTATATTTTAACTTTTGCTATTTCATAATTTTTGATAACCCCTGAACACTTATAGCATCAAACTTAACAAATTATTATTATTAATTAAAAATAAATGGTACATCTGCAATAACACAACAATATGTGTATATATGTATAATTACTTGGTTAGGTAGACTAATATTTTGCAGTTGAGATGCTAATGCATCTACCACATCTGTTTCTCCAGAAGTGGACATTGATGACGTTTTACTTGAAGAAGGTTTTTCTGTAAACAAAAAAAAAAATTCAGAAATTCGCTTTCTAATATAAGCACAAGAAAATAGTACAATTGCAAAACAAATAACAACTTCCATAGAGATATTTAACGGTCAGTTAAATTTCGATTTAAGCATTATTTGTTTTAGAGTTATTTGGTTTTAAGATAGATATTTATAAAAACTTCTCAACCATTTTCATTTTATACCATTGACGCTAGTTTTTTTATGGAGGTCAATACTGTACCATTTTGTGGTAGTCGAAAACATTTTGAGGGCAAAAATTATGTGCAGAAAATTTTAATTTTTTGATTGCTGCTATAGAAATTCGTATTTAGGGATTTTCTGAGGTGAGAAAAACGAATGTCAATTTTGTTTCTCACCAAAAAAATATTTACTCTTAATATCGAGCCAGTTTAGAAAAAAATATATTTGCCAGGTAGATTTTGTATGGGAACAAATCGGATCAACCAACGTAGCAACGTTGGGATAAATATTTTTTTAGTGAGAAACAAAGTTGATATTCGTTTTTCTCATCTCAGAAAACCCTCAAATATAAATTTTTATAGCAATCAAAAAATTAAAATTGTTTGCATAAAATTTTGTATTTAAGAATTTTAAGCAAATTTTTTTTATATTATTTTGTACAAAGAAAAATTTGATTGCTATATAATAACCTAAAAATCCAGGCAAACCAATGGCAAAAATTAATAATATAAATTTTGTTTAAAATTATATACATTTTTTTTTCTCAGTTCCTAGGCAAGAAACCTCAGACATGGGTCTAATATTTTTTACCACCAAAAAGTTTCATTGAAATAGGTGATCCCACGACCATAACCTCTCCTTATTAGATATGAATATATTTCAGAAATAGCAAATAGCCAGTTCGGTTTGGCTCAAAGTTGGAAAAAGTTGGGTGTTGGTGAAAAAATGATGCTAAATCAATCTTATTGAATTCCATCCACTACTTTCTCTTACATATGTGCAAAAGTATTTTCCTTGAAACAATATCTCGAAAACTACACATTCGATTTGGCACAAATTTGAAGGAATTAAAAAAATTATCAAGTAGGTAACAACGTCATCAAATTCCGTCTATAACATTAAAAAAATACATTTGCTTTGGGATCTGCAAAGATATGGTTTTTAACATGCCTATAGTTTGAAAACAGCTCATTTGATTTGACACAAGAATTGGAGAAAATTGAATAATATTGCAAAAATTGTTTAACATCAATTCTATTAAATTCTGTTTTGCAATTAAAATTAAAATAAATAGCAGTTAAAATAACAAAAAAATAATGGCTATGAAATTTGGTAGGCAGTGAATATATGGAAAGGGGTCACATTCATATCTTTTTGGTTTTCGCTAAGAACTGAAACATTGGCTTTTAATCAAATATTTTTGCCACTATTCAGCCTACTTATGACCGCCACTCCGGACCATCTCCTTCCTTTATAATGCAACAGTCAACTATTAAATATTCAATGTATATGTATATATTATTATTGAATATTTAATAGTTGACTGTTGCATTATAAAGAAAGGAGATGGTCAGGGGTGGCGGTCATAAATAGGCTGAATAGTGGCAAAAATATTTTATTAAAATCCAACGTTTCAGTTCTAAGCGAAACTCCTAGCTGATACACCTCACTGAAGAAGACCTGCAAAGTCGGGTCAAAACATTGGCTTTTAATAAAATAGTTTTGTCACTATTCAGCCTATTTATGACCGCCACCCTCGACCATCTTCCATTAAAAATTATTTTATTATCTTTTTATTTATTCCTTCTTTTATTTTTTTTGTCATAACAGGTTGCTTAAAATATACTCTAACACTCAGATCAAAGACTTTCTAACAAAGAACTATAATGTTAGCATAGACAGTTCAGGGAAACATAAACCCATTAATGGGTTTAATTGTTACACTGACGGCTCACTAATGACATACGGATCTGGTGCTGGTTTCTGGAGAACCAGAGTACTTCGTTCATCATAAATACTCAATGCCCTTAATTGAGGCAAAATGTATTTTTTTTCTCAATAAAAAAAAAAATCTGAAGATGTACACCAGCTGTATGATAACTTTAAACAGGCAATGCAGGAGAACTTGTTGGAATCAGCTTTAATATTTAAGAGGAAGATGACCGCGAATACCACTTCGCAACCTAAGCACAAATGGTTTAATCAGGAATGCAGGAGAGGTAAACGAAATCTTAAGAAGTTGCAAAGAATTATGCAAAATGGGCTATTCATTGAACTGTTAAGTGGTATAGTTAATCATATAACATATATTAATGCTTATTTACATTGTCATTTGTATACCTCTGGAATATTTTTAAAAAAAAGTATTATTAAAAAAAAAAAGAAAAAAAAAAAATTTTACTAATTGTTTATGTATATATATCGTTTACTAATCTTTTATTATATTAGTCATACTTAATGCTGAGGACATTGTTAATGTTATGTTTGAATGCAGTACTAGACTCAAGATCTAACATTGTTAATTATACCATTATATTTATTTGTAAAGAAATTTCCTTAGACAAATAAAATAAACTATACTACTAGTTTAAGTTTTAAACAACATTTCTTATACATTTGCCAGGCTTGAAAGAAAAATAGGAAATAAAACGTATCAACCAACATTGCTGTTATCATAAAAACAATACTCTGATATGATAACATAACCTAGAACCATCAACAGCTCCACTGCTTCAGGAGCGGTCAGATAGGAGTAGCTTAGATATGATGTCGTACCAAGGACTACTGAGCAGCACCAATGAACTAGGTTCCTTTCTATTCCACTAAAGCAGTGGTCAACCAAAAGTGGTCGTTGCCATGGGCAGCGCCAGCGAAATAGTACCTTAAGCCATTATCTGTAAAGATATAACAAAAACACAGGTCACGGAATATCATACCTACACATAACCTGGAGTACTAAACAAAATTCAGAGGTCCAGTTAAACTTAGGAACAATTCTGATCCAACAAAACAAATTACAAAACCACAAATGTGGAAATACAATACAATTAATTTTGTTGAAAGAAATCAAAAAATATATCTCTACAAGCTCTAAAATGTAATAATATAATTATACATTTCATACACAAAGCCTTTTGTTGTAAAGGGCCCTATTGTATCATTAAGTTTAATATAATATATAAAACAAACAAATATACCTCTTATAGCCATATCAGCCTCATTACTCGTTGCAACATTATGGCTATCTTCACTTGATTTTGTTTTAGATTCAGGGCTCCTTTCTCTAGGAGTTCCACTATCCATCTTTCTTCAAAATTAGTAACTTTTTAAGAAAAAATCCTAAAAAAAATAGTTATTGAAATTGATGAAGTAATGATGGAACAATGATTTAACCCCATAGCATAATTTTTACTATTGAAGATTTGTATGTAATTCTCTCATGACATATAAATGATTTTCATTTAAGTATCCTTGATACTAAAATAAGTAAAATGAGCACACTATGGGTGGAATTCCATAACTACCAAAGTGAGTCGAAAGTGGACAGAGATGAGCTGTCTGCAACACTTCATTGTAAGTAAATTACCTCAAATTTTTAGGAAATGAATTTTGTCCTTTATTGTATTCAAATGTTTATGTTAGATTAGGTCAGCTCTAGTCCCCACCATGTTCACTTCTATTTATGAGTTAATGGAGTGAACTTACATATGCAATGTTAGTCAGCTGTTGGGAATAAATATCAAAATGAACATAATGAACCGTTGATTGTCAACTGTTTTATAAAACAAGGAGATGATCCAGATGTAGATAAAAAAATAACATCAAAAAGTAGTAACTTTTTTTAAGGCATTTACTACTTACATCCTTTCTTCCAACACAATCCGTAGTGAATCATGGCTTCCGATGTTTATAAATAATTCATCTTATGTTAGACTGATATCTGGACCATCTGTTTCTTGAAAGACATAACTTTTACGTTTCAAACTTACAATAATCATTCTGACCATTAAGATCAAAGAATAATAATTAAGAATAACAGTAATTATAATGCAAGGAACAAAATTAAAATGACAGTATTTAAATTGAAGTACGATTGAAATTAAAATTAAGTATATATGTATTTCCTAGGGTCCTTACATGATTTACTTAAAACAATAATAATATATGTTATTAATATAAACCTCTAAGACAAGACTGGTTTGTCATAATATGTGAACAAGAATTTCAACATTGGGTTACTATCAGCATCCCTCCATATTCCATCTACAGTGTACTCAATGTGATCTTGAAACCAGCCACCATCACGAAGCAGCGATTAGAAATTAGTAAAGAAAACTTATTGGGAACAATTAAAGTATTTAAAAAAATTCATCAAAATTAATTACATTTACAGCTGGATTGAATAAAAATGTAAAGATTCGTTGGAATACATGATTAATAACACCACTACATTTAAGAAACTAACAGTAAATACAATGATAGGTATGAACTTCTGATTTCATGAGCAGTGCAAACTACAATGACGTTGATGATTAAACCAAAATTTAAAAAATAAAATATTATTTACTAAAGAATATAAGACACGTAAACCGAAATTGAAATTACCTCAAACTTCCCCAATAGGCAAAAACCAAAAAGCAATCGGTAACGATTAGATCAAATTATTTTCCCTATCCAAGGAATATATAATGATAGTTCTAGAACAAGTTTTTTTAAAATATATTTTAAATGCGTCAACCCAAGGTCAAAAACACTACCAGGTTCGCTCACTCAGAAATGCGTGGTGGGGGAACTTGCATTGTGACGTAGTCACTAGACTGCCAAACCTACCTATTGTTCTTTCAAGCCTATCATTGAGGGTTTATTTCAATATTAATGTACTTTTTTTTTTTTTTAAGTTTATTGTGGTAATTTATTGAAAAGAATATTTTTCTGTGTGCTTGACGTTTAATAGAAGATAATTTTAAGCAGGTAAATCTATAAATACGACGAGCAACCTAGAATAAAATGGTATGAAAATTACAGACTAGATCTCAGACGATAAGAACGAAACTGATATTAAGGTTATTTTTAAATTCTTTATTTCAAAATCTCTGTCAATAATATATAAATATACTACCTAAATAGAAAAAACTAAGATTTATATTTATTTAGAGAACATTTTAGTACAATGTTTGTGTAATTTTGTTTGTAGATCTCGTGGGTATTTCTTTTAATATTATAACGATATTATGATAATATTATAAGGGTGAAGATCTTTGTCATGATTTGCAGTCAAAATTTCTTTAAAAAAACAAATTTAACTAAAAAAATAAACAATTTTTTACTGCAAATCCTTATAATTTATTTTCACCTTATAATCTTAAGAGTCAACTACTTATCCGTCTCTAAAATAATATTATAACGAGTATTCCTTTTTAATTACATGTTACAGAGAACTCGTTTGTTCTTACTAGTATTTCTCATAATAACATAATTATTAATAGAATCTTATAGAATGACAGGTACAAGATGCGCAGTTGCATCTTGCAACAATAATTTAATTGACACAAAGAAGATGGGAGAGAAAATTTCATTTCATACTTTTCCAAAGGACCATCAAGTTATCATCGCCTTATTTCGTCAAGTATTAAATTTAATTGTCCAATTAAATTAAGGTTTATAAAGCTAACAGGTTCGCTCACTCAGAAATGCGTGGTGGCACATCGGTGGAGAAACTTGAATCGTGACTTAAAGACTTGACCGCCAGACCCAAGGTCAATAAAACTACCAGATTCGCTCACTCAGAGGGAAAATGGTAGGGAGGAATCGAGCTCTGATGTAACTACTAGACCGATAATACTTCTCCGCCCCTTGTTCTGGACATTTTAAGATTATTGGTGTTCACCAATAATTCCACCACAGTATATAGAAAAACACGTTTTTCATTTATTGCGCAGCAGCTATTGCCTATGGAGCATCCAATTTGTGTCACAGTATTCAAAGCCCTATATAATAAAAAAATAAGCAACAACAAAATAAGCAATCGGTTCACTAGTTCACGCTATTCGTTCACTAGTCATATATATATAACATAAGATATCATTTATAGTCGATTAATAGGTCATGAACTACACATCAATGAGCTATAACATATTCTGTTTATTCTTTTTATTCAAATGTTTCGATCCCTGTTTTTAACATAAATAATGGAATCCTCTTCAGTTGTGAAAAAACAGTACCTGTCATTTGTTCAACAATTAAAAGTTTTCATACATTACAACAATACTACCAAAGTTTGCTTACTTCTAATTGAACTTTGATACCCCAAAACGGGCAGCACGCTGACAGCCCCAACATTACCGCCACATGGACATCAAGTTACTGGGGGCCGCAACGCGCACCCCGATTCTAGAGTCCGAGAATAGTACCAATACCAACAATAACAATGTAAACAACAATCTCCGTTTCGTTGTAATTAAAATTTCCAAAATGATGAATTAAAAGAACCTTACATGTATTTTATACTGACGTCAAATGCTAAAATTTAAATCAGATTACAATAAAATAAAGTATACAAAGCCAGTAATTACATACAATAAAACAACATTAATATGGTTTCTACTTCTGCCCATTCTCTATTACTACCACTAACATTCCAAAATATTGTTTTAGGCGTAATTTAACTTTCCTAAATCATTACGCGTGTTATTGTATCCTTTGTCATTCCAATGTACATCATTTCAAGGATCAGTCTTTTTTTTTATTATTATTTTCGATATCAAGGACTTTCACCTAATCAAAATCAAATGTGTGTCCTCTCTTCTTTTCTATTAAATATTTTGATGTGACAAATATTATCAAAACCATTGCGGAGATAATGCTGAAGATGGCCTATGTTCCAGAACCACTTCGACAAGGGCGCACGATATTAATATATAAGGGGAAAGGTGATGTAAACAATATCTCTACCTGGAGACCCATCACGATTTATTCTATTGTGCGCCAAATCATAGAGAAGGTTCTGGACCACGAACTAAGAAAGCAGGTCACCTTCCACAGGAATCAGAGAGGCTTTATAAAAGGCCTCTCGGGAACGCATGTCAACGCAAGGATTATCGACGCTATATTAAAAGATGCAAAAATTATGAAAAATGTTGTGGGGTAGTCTTCCTTGATGTTGTCGGTGCTTTTGATAATGTTGGCCACAAACACATCGTGAGCTCCTTAGAAGCAAGAGGTGTTACCGGATCTTAAACGTGTTATATTTTCTCTCCTCTGCACGAACACAATCAAGATTAGTAACGATGTTCACGCAACTATCCAAATCAAAGTGCTGCGCGGAGTGCCCCAAGGCGGATCCTTGTCGTCGTCGCTCTTCAACCTGGCCATCGACCATCTCTATCGCGACTTGTGCGATGAAGAATTTTTTAAAAAAATTGGATATAAGTTAAAAAGCAACCAAGGTTGTGTGGTCCTCACAGGTTTCGCGGATGACCAGGCAGTGTCGGCGCGTGACAGGGGGCTGCAGAAAGAGTCATCGGCAGCGTACAGAGGACGTTTGAGGAAATCGGTTTGGCTATAAATCCTCAAAAAAGCGTGCGCATCATTCTAAATAAAGGAGAGCTGGAAACAGCGATTCTCTCCCTTAAGAATGGAGAGTACATCCAAACATTGCAGAACGGAGATACAATCAAGTATTTAGGATGTACATTCTCGGGAGAGCTACAGTTCAACGAAGATTCGGTGACCAAATTGAACGACAGTTTTAATAAACTGGTAACCGGTCCCTTGCTTAAGCCGGAGCAAAAGCTAAACATTGTCAATCAATATCTGTTCCCGGTTCTTACTTACCCTCTCCAAACTGCGCCCCTCTCAAAGCTACGTCCTGCCATACTTGACGGCATCGACACCATGATTAGCAGGAGTGTGAAGGCTATTGTTGGACTCCCTGCGAACACTTCCACGGCGATGTTATACGCTCCCAGGAGGTATCGAGGATTAGGATTAATCCGCTGCCAAATGGAGGCTCCTCTACAACATTGGTCCATTGCTCAGCGACTGTCAAATGTGCCCGATGCCCTATTCCAGTCAATTTTCGATTATTCGGCTGAGGTTGCTGAATGTGCCGAGAGTTGGGGGTTGATCGGGGTATTAGAAATATGAGAGCTCTACGGCAGTCGCATCGAGAAAATTCGTTCGAGGAATGGACCAATTGCAGGTGGCAGGGCATTGGAGTTCGCCATTTTAAAGAGACCCCGAAAGCCAATAAATACATGTACGATAAGGAAGTACTTCTGGGTCTGAATGATCAAATGCCCTGAAACTAAATATTAATTATGCACCCCTGCGTGGAGTCCCGGGTGTCAGCGGACAGGTAAGAGAAGTTGGGTCCCTCTGTCGCAAATGCGATAGAGGGCCAGAAACACCAGCACATGTGCTTATAACACGCCGTCATCACAGAGTCAAACATGAACTGATGAGGCTCCTTAAAGAGAGAGATTACGCCTGTTTCGAGGAAGTTTATTGTATAGATACGGATGGATCCACCCGATATGCCGACATTGTGATATATCGATCATACCAATTAGGGATTGAGTTGTATTAACCTAACAGTGTTATCTTTGATGATGAATAAAATAGTTGTGTTCACTAATATTGTAGTTTTGTGCTTTAGTATTCCAAGTACTTAACATTTGGCGACGAGGATGGGATGTTTTTAGTTGTCATAGATGCCCACAGCAAATGGCCTTAGATAGAAGTTTTTAACATGATTGTGTGATCATTTGGTTACTGATGGAGGACCCCAATTCACAAGCAGTTTATTCAGAAACTTTTTGAAAAGGAATGGTATAAGGCATACAGCAACACCTCCAAAACATTCAGCAACAAATGGAGCTGCAGAAAATTTTGTTGGTACGTTCAAAGATAAAATGTGCAAGATGTTAAAATCTGGGCTATCAGTCGAGTATGCTATGGACAATTTTCTTTTAGACTACAGGCAAATAGAGCATTCTACTACCGGAAGATCACCACCTTATCTTATGTTTAAAAGAGAAATTAAAACGAAATTTGACCTTCTGAAACCAAATGTGAATAATGATGTGGAACTTAAGCAGTGCCAATCCCTCTTAAGAAATGAATCATCCCGTTGTATCAACTTTCAGGTAAATTATGAAGTAACGGTAGATGGTTTTAGTGTAAATGCCGCAAATAAGAGGACTCGAGGAAGAATAAAAAAAAAACTGTCACCTGTAACATTTTTAGTTGAAACAGACGATGGTATTACATGCAAACGCCATGTGGACCAAATCGTCAGATTTCTCCCTGGGAAAAAAAATAAGAGAAGAGGCTATTTCTATAAATCAACAAGAGAGCAACCAAATAATCAGTCATAGAAGTGGGAGCCCTCCTTGAGAGCTGCAGAAGACTCAGTTATTTGTGTTAGTTAATTTGTGTTCTTAGTTTTATAAAAGACTTATATGTAGTTTTGATTTTTTTTTCAAGTTTTTAATACGTTTCTATTTTTATAACTATGATACATTTTCTTTAGAAAGGGGGGAATTGTGATATATCGATCATACCAATTAGGGATTGAGTTGTATTAACCTAACATTGTTATCTTTGATGATGAATAAAATAGTTGTGTTCACTAATCTTGTAGTTTTGTGCTTTAGTATTCCAAGTACTTAACAGACATTGTATTACTCCCTAAGACGGGAAAGTCGGCGATGATTTTGGATCCTACCGTGAGGTATGAGACCAATGACCTCGATCAGGCAGACAAAGTGGAAAGAGAGAAAAAAAAGACCTATGAGAAATGCATTCCTTTCCTTAGTGAAAAGTTCCGCGAGAGTTTCGGGCCGAGAGAGTTTCACGTGAGAGGCCTTTGGTTCGGAGCTCGCGAACGATACCGAACTCAACAAGGAGCTTCATGGAGGGCCTTGGTGTGGACATAAAGGAAGTGGAAAGGCTGACGGAGAATATAATCCTCGACTCCCTGGGAATTATCCATCACCATGTGCATGGATAGAGAGAGAGAGAGTTTGTTCATGGGGGGAAGCATGCTTGTTTTACAGTATTTTTACATTATTTATTGACCACGTCCACTGCACTTTATGTATTTGTATGCATGTTATGAATTAGGTTAGGAAAAGAAAGGAGAAAATCTAGGGAATGAGAAAAATGTATAAGGGGTGAGAAGGAAGAGAAAGGGATGTATAATGCTAATAAATGAATGAATAGAAATAGTAAAGAAAAAATATATAGGAAAAAAAAATTATAATAAAAAAAATATAGATAAAAAAAAATGTATACTATGTTCATACACATTGTTAATACTATATAATTGTATATTAGTTTTGGAAAATTGTCTGTGGCGATTAATAAGTATTACATTTAAAGCAACCCAATGTAATTGGGGAGCACCTTTTTATGATAATAAAGTCTCCTATATAAGTACTGCGATGTTTGCCCGATGCACATACCTCCACAATCGGAGCAATTTATTTCATAAATTACATTTTATAATTTATCCCGGCTCGTCCTATCTTTTAGTTTAGAGAAAAGGACCCTTTTAAGGCTATTTCTATATCTATATGGTATGCTGATATTCTGCCTGTGAAAAATTCTTTTTATTCTTAATGCCAATGGTTTAATATATTCTATGGAGAAATATTATTGTGGACTGAACTGCTTATTTTGGTGGGGGGTCAAACTGTCATACGCACCACTTAGGCACTTTTCAATGACGACCCTAGGGTAACCATTGTTTTTTAATATTTCTCTTATTCGCTTAATATTTCCTCTCTAAACGAAATTGAACTCAGAGCAATGGCTTTATAAAACAAGTTCTTCGCCATATTTATTTTTAGCCAAGCTGTTAAAAAGGGCTACACATTTGATTTTGATAAGGTGAAAGTCATTGATAACGAAAATAATTAACAAATAATGATTGATTCTTGAAATGATGTACATTGGAATGACAAAGGACACGATAAAGACGCGTAATGATTTAGCAAAGTTAAGTTACGCCTTTAACAATATTTTGGAATCAATATAAATTGGCCAGAGCGTTCAGTATTTTTATGTGTGGGTATGTATATGTATATATTATTATTGAATATTTAATAGTTGATCGCTAAAGGAAGAGATGGTCCGGGGTAGCGGTTATAAATAGGCCAAATAGTGGTAGAACTATTTTATTAAAAGCCAAGGTTTCGACCAGACTTTGCAGAGCTTCTTCAGGGAGGTGTGTTCAGCTAGGAGTTTCACTTAGAACTGCTAGCAGTGTTAACCATATTTTTCAGGAATGTCCCTATTACACCACAAGCTTAAATAGATTATCTCTTGGACCAGATATTTCAGTGATATTAAATTATGACGAATCAAACACAAAAACAGTTATAAACTTTCTTAAAACCCATAAAACCTATATTCTTAAAATATAGAAGTGCATATATATTTTTTATTATTTATTAGTATTTTTCAGTTGTCAATTTTTTTATAACTGTTTATCAATTTTTTTTTTCATTCTTTTTCAAAGGAGTTTCTGAACTCCAGAGAGCAAAAATAAACGACCAACAGGCGTTGATGAACCAAGTGTTTCACGCCTCAAATCCCAAATAAAAAAAACAAACTTATAATTTTCTAATTGGTTATATTTACTTCGTATTTTGAAATTATCTTTGTTAAGCTACCATTTTTCTTTAAATTGCAAGTTTGAAAATTAGTTTGTCAATATGGTAACGGTAAAACCAAGTATGGAAATGTTAAAAAAATCTTGATGTGTTGTAAATTACGGCTCTCGAGGTTCCAAGTTAAATTTAATTTTACAAAATTCGAACCACTGTCCGGAACGTTTACCGTTATCGTAAAGTATCCACTTTTCATCAAAAGTAACAATTCTGGACAGAAAAGAATCGTTCATGTTTCGGCAAAGAAGTGTAGCACTAACTTCTTAACGCTGTTGTTTTTTTTTAGGGTCGTTTAATGTGTGTGAAACCCAACTCTTTAAAGCTTTTTTACCTTTCCAATCGGCTTGAGTGGTCATCGAAGGTCGATTTTGTAAGGTAAAGTTTCCCTGCATGTCCTTGAACAGTTGTTCTGGGGTTTTCTTTAACCAAAGCCCGCAGAATATCGTCATCAAGAGAGGAAGTCCTTCTTGCCACCACCTTCTTTTTCTTCAAGGCTGAAGTCTCCCTTTTCCCCCCGAATTTTTTGAACCACCGTTGAACAGTGCACTCATTAATACTACTCTCGCCCCAGCCTTGATTGATGTCTCTGGCCGCCTGGGCCCCATTCTGCCCGAGTTTAAACTCGTAAAATAAAATTATACGAAAATCACGCGTTGACATCTTAGTAAAGACTGAATTATTTCTAAGCAGCGAAATGATAATGGTAAACAAATAAGGGTAGCGAAATAATGGTAAGCAAACATTGATTGGAAGAGAATTAATAAGTGTTGACTTCCTTACAAATGAATAATCTAGTAAACATAAACAGTTTGTTATATAAAGGGGTATTTTAAAGAAAACTCAAAATCCTACATTATTTTCTGGACAACCCAATATTTTTTTGTTATAGCTTATGGTTCAACAAAAAATGTGACTTACTTTTAAAAAACTTAAATTTTCTGAGAAGAATCAGACCATGGTCTAAATGAGTTTTTTGTAGCTCTCAAGGTCTACTATCATCTCTTTGAGTAGTTTCTATTACTTACAGGACAACCTTAACTGTGTATAAATTGAAAAGGTACCATTAGGATTTAAAAAACTAAAAATATTAAAATTGTTTTTTTATCGTTTATTTATTTAAACAAAATTTTTAAAGATATAAAAAAGAATGTAGGTTTATACATCTATATGAATTAATTTTCATAAGTTGATAACTTTGTCAACAATCAAAGTTGGCATGATAAAACCAATAATCATATAAAAATACTAACATGGCTAAATACCTAAGTTTTCTTGTATTTTTTTAGCTCTTAAAAAATGTTTAATACTACAACAAATATTATGTTATAGAAGGATAAGTCATTTCATTGTTATTAATTAAATGTTTCAAAAGGGATAAGAAACATCAATATACTGTTAAATATATTTTCATCAATTTTACTCACAATTGGTCCTCCAGAATCATGATAGGTAATTTAAAATTATGATATGGAAATCATACATCCATGTATCCTTCACAATGGTAATGTTAATGATATATCTGTTTTTTAATTAAAAGAGCATAAAATCTTTAGCACTTTTTGTGAAAACTATGATAAATGATCCATTCCATGAAAATGATTTACGGTCAACAGAATATTTTCCCAGCAATATTAGTGGAGCCCTTATACCTTGATACACCTCATCATTTGATGAACCTCCCCTTTGAGGGGTAACAAATGGTACAAAATCAGGGTTTCGTTCTTCGTGGAAATTCATACGAGATCTGTAGGACATACCAGGAACGATCATGTTATAAATTGAGACACTTTCATCAGTCTCTAATTCAAAATAAAACTTTCCTTTCATCCAGTTGACCAATGGGGGAGGTCCATGTCCAACATATTGAGGAAATGAAAAGGTTCCTTGTAAGGTCGACTGAAATACAGAGCAAGACCAAATCACCTCATGGCCGAAAACATCAGAGAGTTCAACCTGATCTTCACTGTCTCCAGGTGTCCAGAAAATAGGTAAGTCTATGGTAGTTGGCAATTCTCCAGACCATATGGTTTTGGAAGGTTGAAAAAGCCCACTATTTCTGACTTGAACCCATCCTTTGCGTACTTTTCCTCCTAATCGATGACCCAGAAACTTGTCTTCGAAATCATTATAATTATATTGGAATGGACTATCAATGGCAGTATTCCGTTCTTTCCCATCAATAACAATTGGACGATTTACAAAAATATCATTATCAGTAGTATTATATTTATGTTTTAAAGTCAATTCAACATCACCATTCCAGTGGAAAATTTTTTCTTCAGTGCACCACCAGGGAGTTAAATAGCAGTAAAAGGATGGTGTCTGGAAATAACCACTTAACATTATTGAGCAAGATTCACCAAAAGGAGTTTTCCCTTTTATTGTACTTCTTGGAAGTAGATCATTCACTTCAGTTGCTTGTGTGCTTTTTTTCAGTGATGGGAACATTACTTTACATGAATAGGTTTTTGATTGTTCTATTATCCCTATAGAACCTCCGTATTTATATACAAAATCAAAATTATAGTTAGCCTTTACTGTATTCTTTGTGCCTTTTCCTAGAATTGGAAAATATGCTATAGAAAATTGACCATTTATAGAACTGTCATCAACAGGTGTTCCAGAAAAAGTTACTTCAAAACTTGTATCGAATGCACTTGGACTAATAAGATGATCAAGGTATATGTCCAATGGAGGGCTAACAGAAACATCAACTGTTTCATTTCCAAAGTTTCCTGAAACCTGACCAGATACAACTGTAACACTAGCAAATTCTTTTTCAACTTTTACATTTTCAGATTTTTGCTTAATGGTAAATGTTTTAAGTCCTCCAGTTTTTATTTTATTTACATTAGTATTATTAGGATTGTTCGAAGTAGATTTAAAAACCATTTTCATATCACCGGACCAGTAAAACAATTGGCCCTCTAAACACCACCAAGGGAAAACTGAGCAATAAAACGGACGTTGATAAAACATACCCACCAGCATGATTGTACACTGTTCTGTAGCTTCTGGAACTTCAGACAAGACATTTGACTTGGGAATATTGTTTTGTTCAAGTACATTCGGATTGGAGGATTTCGTGTAAGATTGGAAGAGAACCTTGCACTGATAATCCACTTTTCCATCAAGATCAATTGTTTTTCCCCACTTAAATGAAATATCAGCTTCAAACTGTAATTTTAGGCTGTAATTTGGTCCATCTAAATTTTTTAATGGAACAATGGCACATCCAGAAATAATGTTACCATCAACAGTAGCCCTAAAACTAGCATCAGTGCTTGCAGTGTAAGCGTTTGGATCAATTACACGATCTAAAGGAAGCAAAATTGGAGGTTTTTGGTTGTAAACTTCATACAAAATACTGCCGTTTGAAGTGGCAGTGATGTTTGCCACATTCATAGTAAGGCTAACAGTTCTTTTAAGAATGACAATTGATGTATTTTTTTTTGATAAAAGATTATTATTTAAAAATTTTCCTAAATTTACAATCTCATATGTATCTTTTTCGTTTTCTAATAAATTGTCATTCTCTAACCACGGTGTCAAATTCATTTTTGATTTAATGGGGCATTCTAAGGAGGTATTTGTCCGCAGGAAACCACCATTCATTTCTAAATTATCACAAATCAGTCCTGTAATAGTTGTTTTCCTTATTTCAGTTAATTGTTCTGCAAAAAATAAATAAATTGAATTATTATAAAAATATAGATTAAATTAATAAAGTTTGAAAGGAAACCTGAATGAATAATTACCTTCAGAAAATCTTTGAAGAGGTTGATCTGTTTCATACCAGTATCTGTCCCCAGTTTTGAGCCGTTTAAACTGATCAGCCATTAAGCACATGCCAACTTCTCCAAATATGCTTCCTTCTACAGGGATCTCAGAAATTATTCCCACAAATAAATCGATATCATCTATTTCACTAAAAAAAAGCGTATAGATGTATGTTTATGATTGTTTCACAGTTTTATCATCAATATACCTAAGCCTCCTATTGACAACTAACATAGTAATACATTGTATATTCCTATTTCTACGAGGACTGTATTGACTTTCAAAGTTATGGTATATTCTTTTCCTTTCGATTATAAACAATATAAAATTAAGCACAGCCAATAAAAAAAAAAACAATTTTCATAGTAATAATTTGATAATTTTTTTTGTTATATTTTAGGCACATATATATATATATATATATATATATATATATATATATATATATATATATATATATATATTATATTTTAATATATATATATGTAATATTTTATATATATATATATATATGTCTGACCTACCGCAACACAGTGACACTCTACAGGCTACTTTTGCTAACGATACCGCAATCCTCAGTTCAGATAAAAATCCTATTCGAGCATCCACCACTCTTCAAAACCACTTGAATGATATTGCTGATTGGGCCAAAAGGTGGAAAATTAAAATGAATGAAAAAAAAAGTGTGTACGTAGTATTCACTCTTAATCATACCCCTTCTCCCGAAATATATTTTAATGACATTGAAATTCCTGCATCCGAGGTAATTAAATATTTGGATTTTTATCTCGACAAAAGACTAACTTGGAGGACACACATTAGACAAAAACGTATGGAATTAAACAGACCGGTTTCTCGGGATGACCGGTTTTTGACTTTGAGAATTTTATGAAACCGGCACCTTACCGTTATTCAAGCGATTCATCAGCTTGAAGAAGTTCGAGGAGTGCAAATTGCTGAACGTACTGATCGGAGAATATTAAATGAGTATGGATTAATGGATTTTCCTCCAGTAAGAGGACCAGAGTTGACCAGAACTCACAGAGTAACACGACTGGCTTTTGCTCGAGAACACAGCCATTGGACTATGGACGAATGGAGTGCTGTATTTTTTATAGATGAGTCAAGATTCGCTCTTCGATCTCCAGACTGGCGTGAAAGGGTGTGGAGAAGAAGAAACGAAAGATATGCAGCCTGTAATTTTTCCCAGAGCCAACCTTTCCAACGTGGTTCCTTAATGGTGTGGGCTGGGATTTCAATAGAGCGCCGCACAGAATTGGTTGTTGTTCGTGGAGGGTCTTTGACGGCCATTCGCTATGTAGGTGAGATTTTGGAACCTCATGTGTTGCCTATCCTCAACGAAATCGGCGATCGTTCTATTCTAATGCACGAGAATGCACGCCCACATGTCGCCCGCATAGTGCAGACGTTCCTTCAACAGAACAATATTGAGGTTTTAGCCTGGCCAGCACGTTCTCCTGATTTGAGCCCCATTGAGCATTTATGGGATAACCTCGGAAGACGAATAAGAGCGCGTGCATTACCTCCTGATACACTGCAGGACCTTGAAAGGGCTCCTCGGGAGGAACGGGCTATCCTCCAGCAAAGAGACATTTCCCGACTGGTGGAAAGTATGCCGAGGTGCCTTCAAGAAGTAGTGAAGGCAAGAGGAGGAAACACGCGCTACTAAACGATGATGTAATTAATTTCTTTTAGAATAATAATGGTTCGATTTTCAATTTTTTTTTCTCTAATCTTTTTTGCCCAATCACATTTTGATTATTAAAGGTAAAAAAGATTATAAAATTCCATAAATACTAAGTATTATCTACAAACACCATGTATCATATACAAATACAACTTTTTTTACAAGTGGCAGAAATATTTTTAGATGAAAACATGAAAAAATCAAGTGGGTGGAATTTTTTGCCTGTCAGTGTATTTTTCTTTTTTCCTCCATTTCAGTAGAAAGAGAAATACTTCTCCCTCTCCTTAAATTTACTTCGGCGATTCTCTGATCTCCTATACAAACAGTCACAGATTCTTGGGTATGGTATTTGACCAAAGACTGACATAGGAAACTCATATTTCAAACTTAAAAACAGCCACAACCAAAAAACTAACCATATTATGGTATCTTAGTGGCACCTCCTGGGGTTCAGATAAGACCACCCTACTAAAACTGTACCACTCATTAATATGCTCAAAATTGGACATGGGTTGTTTTATCTACGGTTCTGCACGTATCCGGATCCATAATAAACTTAATGCAGTACATCACGCTGGTATTAGGACTGCGACTGGCGCGATTAGAACCAACCCAGTTCTCACTTTGTGTTCTGAAGCAAGAGAACCCCCTCTTTTATTCAGATAAAAAAAAACTGGCCATTAATTACATTTCTAGACTATAGCCTCAAACCGAACATCATAAATATAGATATATTCTCAAGCCAAATTTATCGAAAGTTTTTGAAAAGAAAACAAACTCAACCCTCCCTTTGTCAGAAAGAATTAACTCATCTATTGCATTCCTTAAAGCATTGCCTATAGAAAAAATAAAATATTACGATTCTCCATGAATAAAAAAACCACCAAAAACCATACTAAACTTATCACGACTACCGAAAAACGAAACTTCACCTTCTAAATACCAAACTAAATTCCCCCGTCTCCTTCAAAAAATTCCAGTACCATTTTTAATCTACACCGATGGATCAAATCCAAAAAATCCACTACATCTTCATTTATTACAAACAGCTCCACTCACAAAATAAAACTACATAAATTATGCAGTATAAATACAGCTGAACTTCACGCAATAGCCTCAGCTCTCATTTTCTCTATGTCGATAAATCCCCATACAATAGTAATAATAAAAGACTCTTTGAGTTCTTTAAAAGGCAGTAATAATATATATCCGAGACACCCGACTATTTTAAAAATCCACGGATAGAGAGGAGGTTGCCTTGAAGAGACTAAGGATAGGACATACGAACCTGACACATTCTTACCTGATAAATAAACAACCAACACTGTTACAGTACTCTCACGGTCAGCCACATTTTTCATGAGTGTCCCTATTATGTATCAATCTTAGCCAAATTAGGACTCATACCAAAACTATCAGATATTTTAAATAATGATGAAGTTAAAGTAAGGTGTTGAGAGGGAAATTATTGGAAAGGGGCATATTTTTGACATGCTGAATATTGGTTCGGTGGTATTGTGGATCAGATAAAGAGAGGGATCGTTGAATTAGATTTTTGGCGGTATTGATTTTTTGGTGTTATGGGTGTTGAGAGTAAAAGTTAAATAGTCTGCCTGAGTGTGTGGGTTTAGTATTCCAGTCAGTAGAAATATAGCCGTCAGTGTTTCTGATTATTAGGAGGTTTTAGACCTTTTTATTTTAGAATTTTTTTAGAAAAAGGGGAATGAATTGTTAACTTCTTTTTCAATAGTGAAACCAAGACAAGGTTGGTAAGAGTTAAATGTGGGATAGATTTGAGGGATGCTGTCAGGGTTAAGAACGAGGAGTAGGTCATCGACATATTTTGTAATGAAAATGACGTCTTGGTGGAAAGAAGGGATAATGGAATATAGGAGGTCATTTAGAACTATGTTGGAAATATCAGGTGCTAAAGAGTTTTCCATGGCTAGACCAGAAACCTGGTGAAACTAAACATCATCTCAAAACCCATAATTCCCAACATAAAACATCCATAACTTCCCGGAACTTTTCCGTCTCCGAACTATCAGAACAAGCCTTGACCCCCAACCATTCATTTACTATTGAAAAAACCTCTATTTTTCCCGTGGTCCCTAACCATGGAAAAATACTCATTACAGAATCCGGTTAATCATAAAATGGATAAATACTGTATTTCTTTAAGCTATAGACACATTTTAAATCTAATAAGTCAAAAATAGCTTCTCTATTATATCTTGTATTATTCTTGTTTATTTATTTTTTATCTGTATGGTATCACATTTTTATTTTGATATTTACATTTTACTTCTAAGTAGGGCCTTTCATTTTTTTTTTCACATTGTACTTTTATCTATAATGTCTTAATTCTATCTTGTATTTATATGTATATATTTATAATTAATCAGTTCATAGATATTTTAATTTTTCTTCTATCCCTCTGGTTGTACCAGGGAAGGTAGGGAAGGTTTAAATTTTCCTGCGTTACAGTGAGTGGTGGGGACAGATCTAAAAGATAACACTTAAGCCTTGAGAGCGACTAGTTGTATCTGCAGAAAAAAGTATCGAAAGATTTGATAGAAAAAGCCTCCACACGATAACCGGAATGAAGAGAAAAACTAATAAAGAGCTGCTTACAGAAACTGATGAATCAATATCATATGATATGAAGATAAGGAGGTTAAGATGGGCTAGGCATATAGCTCGAAACAATCCATCTGGAAGCCTCTACTCAACAATGAATCTCTCAATAGAAGGCACAAGACCATATGGAAGGCCAAAAACCAGATGGATAGATATAATCAATAAAGATGAAATAGAACTGCATACAAATAACTGGAAAGAAATAACCCAAGATAGGCAGAGATGGAGAAGGCTGGTTAAGGTGGCAAAATATCTACAAGATCTTTAATGCTAATAGAAAAAAAATATGTGTATATATATATATATAATATATAGTATATATAATATATATATATATATATATATATATATATATATATATATATATATATATATATATATATACATATTTTTTCTCTCTCTCTCTCTCTCTCTCTCTCTCTCTCTCTCTCTCTATATATATATATATATATATATATATATATATATATATATATATATATATATATATATATATATATATATATATTCACAATTAATAATTAATATTCACTCAACCAAAATTTATTTACATATCAGATTTATTATCTACTACTTACCTATAAATTTCTTTCAAAATATCTGTATTGTTTATTCCCATCAATGGATAAAGTTCATCAAAAATGGTAAGTTGAGGTAAACCACAGAACTCTCTCCACTTGACATAGCTTGGTAATCCATACTCACGCCCTCTTTGAATATCATGGGCTAATGAATAGAAGTCACACCTGAGCTGAATTCTGGCTTTCTGGATATTAAAATGAAATAATTATTCAATTTTTATTATTTACCTCTCAATTTACAATAGAAATTCATTTTAAAATAATACTTACGGACAATTTGGCAAAAACAGACTTGAACGCTGCAGCTGCAAAAACATTGCTGATTGTAGGATCCATTGCTTCATCATATTTTTTGTTGTATCCACTTGGGTAAGGCTTTAAATCAAACTGTTCACTTTGGTGTTCTCCTAAAATATAGATATATTTTAATATTATTTAGAACAGATATATTTGATTTATAGTAAATATGTTCAAGTTTTTTTAGAGGATTAAGCTAAATTACATCATACATAACAAACAATATTAAAAAAAGGAAATAAAAATGAATATGTTATGTATTTATTCAGCTTTTTAAATTTATTTATTTGTAAACCTTAGAAATCACAAAATGTATAATTTTAATTTTGAAGTATTATAAATTTTAAAAGCTTATAATTTCAAAAACAATAAAAATCTTTACAATGTATATATGTGTGTGTGTGTGTGTGTAAAACTCTTCGAACAAACCAAATTGTTATAAAAATTATAAATGTTTCAATTTGAAAGAATTTTTATCTTCTTAATTGTAAATTGATATAACCTTGCAAACATTCTAGATGTAATATATATAGCATTTTCAAATCAATTTCAACCTTTTCCAAATCAAATTCAACTTTTTCCAAGTCAAATTCAACTTTTTCCTTTTCAGATTCAACTTTCGAATTTTTGTAAATTTTCTATTTTTTTCTAAATAAAGGCCATTTACTATATTATTGAAGGCATAGCTTTTTAAAAATTCCAAACTAATATGATAACGCGGACATTCTACTTATTTATGCTGTGAACTGTATTTTGATGAATTGGTTGATTATATGAATTATGCAAAAACAGCTTACCATTTTTATGCTGGTATAGACATCATACTACCTGAGGCCCCTCAAGTCTTCTGCATGTTCTTTCCTCCGTGGATATCTGGGTTGGAATGGGGCTACTTGTACCGGTAGCTGGTACGGATTGAATTTTATCTTTTAGATCTTATCTGATCTGCCTCCACCACTTGCCGTAACAAGACAATTGGGCACCATCCTTCCACAAACATATCTCCCACCGTGAAATATCTCATTTCACAAACAAAAAAAAGTAAAAACCAAACTCAGAGATTGGTGATTACCAGGCAAGGCACAAACGAGATGAAAATTGCTTGGTTTACAATAAAGAAAGAAAGAAATTATTCAAAATAGACTTTTGGAAAATTAGAAAATAAGTGAGCAACCTCAAAGATATGCTAATAAATTACAATTAATTTAAAATAAAATGACTCCTTATTAAATTCAAGCAAAAACTATATTCATATCAATAAAAGGTTTCTCCAGAAGAGCGAGGCACTAACTTGTGAACCGGTCGCACCAAAGTGGATATAGCAGTCCTCAATTTTACCACCCTAACTACACTGTCAGACGCTGAAAGTGTCTGTATTATCCTGGCAAGCCGCCAACGAACGGTTCACTCTTTTAAATTTTCGCTGTCAATATACCACTCATTGCGAGGCACCAGATTGTGGAGGTATTCATTATATCATCTCTCCCAAAAATTACGAAGTCTTGGAAATCATGTCCCAACGGCTTGTCAAAGGAAACACAGGTGCATCTTCTTGATCTGGTCTGTCTAGGAGAGATCGACCTATAAAAAAGTGTCCTGGGGTGAGGTAGTTCAGGTTATCCGAAGGCTGACTGCTAATATTACAGATAGGATGGGAATTGAGAACGACTTCAACTTGTACCAGAAGAGTATAAAATCTCTCATATGTCAACGCATGATCCTGTAGAATGGAAAGAAGGTGTCTCTTAGCGGATTTAATAGCGCCCTCCCAAATACCACCGAAATGAGGAGATGCTGGAGGAGTAAAGGTCCACTTTAAACCCGTCCAACCCAAATAGTCAGAAATGGGTTCGCTCTGGCCCTTACCAAATTGATAAAGCTCCTTCAACTTCTTGGATGCTCCAACGAAATTTGTTCCGCAGTCACTATAAATATGCGAAGGCAAACCAGGTCTGGCAATAAATGTGTTTAATTTGCCAATAAATGCAGGAGTGGATAGGTCCGTAACAAGTTCTAGATGGATGGCTTTGGTATACATGCACACAAAGGGAGCTAACCAACATTTCGATTTAGGAGCATTGCGCTTACTAGAAATCTTCATAATGAAGGGGCCACCATAGTCTATTCTAAACTGAAAGGAATCCTTAAGATCGTCAGTAGTCAAGGTTCCAGCAGCCAAAACATCTTCCTCCTGATCTTGGCAACATTTAATAAATTTTAAAATGAAAGCAAAAACCCTTTGCACCTTTAAAAGGCTCCAATATTTTTATAGGCAAATGAACAAATCGTTAAGTTTTTCAGCCGCTAAAAGAGTATTGTTTTTACTTCAGGCAGAACAGATGGATGTTCAATATGGTAAATAGGCAAGTCAGAAGGAAGTAATGAAATGAATGCCGGGCCGTTCCAATAAAGCTCATGGGAAAGTATCTGGTGTGGTGAGAGGCTCCTCGATAAACAATCGGCTGGATTCTGTTTTGTTGGAATATAATGCCAACAATTGGGTTCTGTTACTTCTAAAATCTGTACTATGTGATTGGCAACATAAATCTTAAGTTCATGAGGCGGTGTCTGTAACCAGTATAGTACGTTACGAGAGTATGAAAAACAATAAACTGATTTGCAAACAACTTTTAAGTATACCAATACACGCAAGTAGTCTGCAGGCAAGAAGAGCAGCGTTTAATTCCAAACGAGGCTCTGATTGAATCTTAAGTGGGGCCACCTTACTTTTAGGCCTTAATAAATGAATTTTGGTAGCTTCTCCTGGGCACCCAGCTCTCAGGTAGATCACACACCAGTAACCATTCTCGGAAGCGTCTGAAAAGGCGATTAGTTGCATGGATGATGCATTCTGGCTGACAATACAACGAGGCAGGCAAACATTTCTCAAGCTCGGAAATTCTTCAAGGAAAATCTTGCACAATGAAGACCCACTAGAGGGCAACTCATCATCCCAATCAACCTTAAGCAGCCACAAACGTTGTAGTATGCATTTAACAGAAAAAATTACCGGATTGATATATCCATTTATATAAAATATTTTGACAATGGAGGATAGAATACCTCGCTTTGTAAAAATAGACTCCCTTTTCTGTATTAAATACATAAAATGATTGAGATTAGTTTCCCAAAACAAACCCAAAATCTTGACAGTTAAGGAATCTCCATCCAGGCACAATGGAACTTCTTAGCTACCCTTGGGTATTACAGAAATTACTTTTTTGAATTTCTGAAGAACTTTCTGAGTTCAAACCAACCTGCTCCAAATAAGGCCATCAACTCATTATACAGATGCAGAGCCTCATCACTATTACGAGCACCAGTGATTACGTTATCTACATAAATCTGGTCATGACAATGGGCAGCTTTAGGAAAATTATGGCCTACTTCCCGAAATAACTGTAGAATGACTCTCGGAGCAATAAAGGGAGAACATTTCAACCCAAATGGCAAGGTAGCCAACTCATACTCCAGGATTGGCTGTGAAGATGCACTTCTCCAAAACAAACGTAATAAGTCTTAATTAGTTTTGGCAATACAGATATACCGAAACATCATTTTTATATCACATGTTAAGGCCACAGTAAAGCATCTAAAATGGTCTATAAGTTCTGCAATATCAGTCTGGAGCTGCAGACTGTTTAAAAGCAAATCATTGAGTAATTTCCCTCCCACCATCTTCTCTGAACTGTTAAACACAACTCTAAGCTTTGCCATGGAAGAATCTTTAATTACTCCAACATGAGTCATGACGTATGGAGAAGGGTTCTTGTCGAGGCGGACATGATTCAGTCTTACATATTAATCCATCTGTGCAGCATAGGCAGACTTGTACTTATTCCACCCGGAACAGTCCATCCCTACTCATCACTCCTCTTATTCAATAACTAACCAATGTTGTATCCAACCCCATCTCACCACCTTTGGACGTAGTACTAGCTTTTGACTTGGTTTGGCACGATGGCTGGTTTTTTAAGCTCAAAACCCATTTACCCCAATCATTCTACCTAGTCCTCAAATCCTATCTTTCAAATCGCTCCTTTCAAGTCCACTGAACTCTTCAATCATTATCCAGTTTAGGCTGATGTTCCACAAGGCAGTGTCTTGGGCCCAGTTCTCTTCATCCTCTTCACTGCCAATATCTCTTCAAATCCTGATACTTTCCATGCAACATTTCCTGATGATATTACCATCCTATCCTCCCACTTAGATCCTCTAATAGCTTCCCAAAACCTACAAAGACACCTCTTCCTGAGCAGAGATGCAACAATTGGGGCATCGAAATCAATGAATCAAAATGCAAACATGTCACTTTCCCCCTTCGACGCAGATCCTTCCGTCAATCCTTTTTAATTTGATCAATCTTCCGTACTCAGACACAGTCCGATTCCTTTGATTCCTTCTAGACAAAAGATTAACTTGAAAGCTACATACTAGACTTAAAAGACAAGAGCTTAACCAACGATTTGTCCAGCTATATAGACTACTAAACAGAACATCTCATCTTTCAAATGAAAACAAACTATTAATCTACAAGACCATACTGAAACCTTTCTGGACTTGAACTGTGGGGGACAGCTAAATACTCGAATATAAAATTTATCCAATCCTTCTAGTCCAAAGTTCTTCAATCAATAGTCAATGCTGCATATTATCTCACAAACAAGACCCTACACTATGACTTTAACATCCCATATGTCTCTGACATCATTCCTTACAGATTCTCAAACTTTGGCCAGAACCATATTCATCATCCCAATTCTCTATCTATATACCTCTATCCCAATCTCTATCCAGCTTCGAATATCCATACCATCTTCCTTGAAGGTTAAAACAACAGTGGTCCCAACTCCTGAAGTCCTGCTTTGCCTTCCACATGTGGAGGACAAAGCTTGGCTCAGAGTTTCCTGGACGAATATGGTACTTGTCAGATAGCCCCGCGGGACGAAACCTCCCTTGTTATCTAATGTTACATCACATAACCTCCCTTCTTATCTCGTGTAAGAAGTGAGTTATTTCATTGTTTATTTTTGTTCCTTATGTAAGCTGTGAGTTATTCCATTGTTTATTTTTGTTCCTCCTGTAATCTGTGAGTTATTCCATTGTTTATTTTTGTTTCTCATGTAAGCTGTGAGTTATTCCGTTGTTTATTTTTGTTCCATTTGTGTGATTTTTATCAAATTATGGATGTTATTACATTCTGGAAATTACCATCTTCAGAAGAGGAGGCTATCAAATATTTTCCAGAATAATTACAAACGTGAAATTGTGAGAAGAAGGTCATCAAATGAAGTTAGACAGGAAGACGAAATGGAGATGCTTTTGTAACACTTGTAAGAAAAACATTTCTATAAAGAAAGGAACGTGGTGAGAGGGGTCAAGGATTTCGTTTTTAACGGCTTTAAAATTAATTTGTAGGTGGTTCCATAATTTAACAATGCTAAAGTAGGGCAAAGAGCAGCTGAAACTATCCAAGGCAACTATGATAACGTGGAGCAAATTTTTAAGAGAGGTTTGTGTCCATAACATGTTATGCAGGTCAATTAAAAAAAATCGGAGGGCCTGGCAAAGTCGTTGAAGTAGACAAGAATCTTTTTTCTAAAAGAAAAAAATGTGTATGGAGAGTTCTACCTGAGCAATGGATCTTTTGATGAGTTTGCCAAGAAACAGACGAGTGTTTTATCGTCAAAATAAACAACAGAAAGGCAACAACTTTATTACAAGGTATTAAAAACAATATACAAGTGTTATTGTTGTGGGAATTATTACATTTCTTTTTGTCTATTTCAATTTCAAATCAAACTGTTTTGTTATTATTATTTTGTTATTTGTTGTTAAATAAAAGTATTTTTTTATTATTACATTTGTTTTTGTTTACAATTTCAATAATATGAATATGATACAATAAACATGAATACGAAGATAGGAATTATCAGTGCCTTATCAGTGTTCAGGTTCCGTCCGCTATCTGACAAGTACCGCAAATGTAAATATCATAGGTATGAATATATTTAAGAAGATTTATTTTTTTCTTATTTATTTACTATTTTTATAATTATTATTATTTAATTTTTTAATATTTATAGTTATTTCTCTATTATTTGTATATATTGTATGAATGAGAACTTTTAGCCTTAATACTTATTGCCCTCCAAAAGTGGCAGATTTTATGATTATTCAATAAATAAAAAAATATATAAGCTCTAAGTCCATATTAATTAAGTTTAGGACTTATTATGAAATAAGGCGAGATTGATCTCTAGTTTTGTAAAAAAAAATGATGTGATTTGATATCCTGTCACCTAAAAGTACTCGTGTTTTCTGAAAAAATGACTAGATTAAATGATTGCAAAGCTTTAATTTATTTTTTTTTTTCACATAACATGGAATGTATTATAATAAACATAAATGCATAAATAGACTTTTTTTTTCTAAACAAAATTATTTTTCAAACATGTATCATCTAAGGTGATTATAAAATAATTTATTTTACCAATATCTCTAAATGTTCCTAATCCTAATATTTATGTTTTCATGAAAATAATTAGATAGTAATAATTAGGTTTAAGTATCTTTTTTTTTAAATGTTAATATATAATAATAATATTAATGTCAGATTAGTAATGAAAGCTGTATTTAAATGTAATATTGGAAATTCAATGAAGAAAAGCCTACCTCCATAATGTAGAGCTTCTTTTCTGAAGAAGCAACATTTACAAGAAATCGTATATTTTATTTCAGACATACCAGTAAATAAAACCACCAATTTAAAGTAATAACTTATTATTGTGATTAAACATTACTAAAAAAAAATAAATAAACCTGCTAATTGTTTGAATTATTTTCATGAAAATGTGAATATCAGGATTTGGAACATTCAGTTGGTCACTTATCAATACAGATCAATTCTTATGATAGATATCTTGTTAAAAACGCAATTTAATAATGACTTTGAATATTTGAAAAATCGTTATTTTTAACAATGTTTTTTTTTATACATAAAAAGAGCATCTGTGCAATTATGTTTATTATAATACATCCCAGGTCATGAAAAAAAAAAAAAAAAGAAAACTTTGCAATTATTTATTGTTTTCACTTTGCTGAAAACACGGGTACTTTTAGGTGACAGGATACAACTTTTTTACAACTTGAGATGAATCTCAACTTATTTCATAGTAAAACCTCAACTTAATTAATATGGGCTTAAAGCTTATTAAAAATGGAAGTTTTTCTAAAAGTTGGGTGTCTGTAGTTCTGTAAGAGGCTGGTAAAAAAATCATGAGTAATTCATGATTTTATGAGAAACAGAAACAGTTTTGCTGCTTAAAAGCCTCCTTAAAATGATTTTAACAAAGAAAAACTCTACTATTATTTGAATTCAATTTTCTTTAGGTCATTTTACTTAAATTAAATATTTTTTTATTTATCGCTTCCTGTTCATCGAAAATGTAACTTATTTAAAAAACACAAAACTTAAATTTCCTACTTTTCTGCAGAAAATTGGACCATTGTTTGTATGAACTTTTTTGTAGCTCTTGAGGTATTCTATCACTCTTTTAAATATTTATCTCTACTTATAGGACCTGCTGTGTATATGTATATACATACAGGTTATCTCATAATTAAGGTGAAATATCTAAAGAGTTGATAGTAGACCTAAAGAGCTATAAAAAAGTTTGTATGGTCCATGATTCAATATTTTGCAGTAATCTAGGCAATAGCCATACCGATGAGCTGGGTAGTAAAGGCTCAGAGAGCACTACAATCACACCAGAACCAGTTTACGTCATAAGCCTGAGCTTACCTAAAATAGGATTAAGGTAGCTTATGGTGATAAAACCCTACAACACTGGACTTATAAAGAACAGAAACACATCAAACTGTTCCTTGATAGATCATGTGCAATGATAAGCAAAATATTGCTTCAAATGAATAGGGTTACATCAAAGAAAATAACAGGGCTATACACTGGCCACTGTAAACCCAACAATTATATATACAATCTCAAACTGACAGATTCTGTCATATTGAAGATGGAACATTCTAACTGCGTCTCCTATCACGCATAATCTGTTGGTTGCAAATGGTTCGCAGCTTGAGGCATTTTTTATGGGCCATACAGTGAACCCCAGCTAGTGTGAGGTCCTCAATCTACGGAGCATAGTAATATTCATGGAATCCACCAAAATTACTATTTAATAGCTATATCCATGGTGGCCAATTGGCCAATCAGGCCGAGGTACAGTATGCCAAGAAGAAAACAAACATGATGCAAACATTTTTGTTTTTTAATATTTACTATACATGACATGTTTCATTTAAATTTCTTATTCAGTATAAATAATAATATAATTATTCTATTTATTATTTAATAAATATTAATCTGAACACTTACCAAGTATATATTCTAAGAATTGATTGTAAGTAACATGTTGTATTTGTGCTGTAACAATCCTTTTAGCTTCATAAAACAACTTGTCATCATTCCACAGATAATTGATCTTTTTTAGCTCAGAAGTGATAAAATTGTGTTGTTTGGTCAAGACCTTGTCAAATATTTGAAAATCCAAAAATCCATTTTGACACTTCCAATCTATAATTGCAGTTATGTATTTTTAAAAACACAGAATAAGTAACTTTTGCACGTTTCTGTTTTTAACTTATTTAAATAGGATTACTTAAAATATAAATACATATAAGCTATGTGCAGGATTATTTCTTAGCCAAAACATCATCCTTCTTTTTCTAGATTGTGAATTTCGGAGAATTAATACAATCTGGTATGATTTATTAGCTATCAGTTGGTCTGAATTATATTATAAATACAATAAGTAATTCATTATCTATTAACTGCTGATTCTGATACTAATATACTAATTATAATTCAACTTAAAATTATTAAGAAATGGGCTTTACATCTGTTGATGGCAGAATAATTCTGTTCTTTATATTTGTCTAGTATAAGCTCTCCATTAAAATATGTTCTCAATTTCTTCTCAGCAGCCATACTATTCCCATAAATATTAGAACCATCTAGAAAACTTGTCGCCAAGTTCAACTGTTTAGGCAAACCTAAGGAAAATAATAAAAAATAAATTCAGTATAAGTATCAAATTTTACATATTAGTATCAATTAGAAAATATAAATATATTTTTTTATATATATTGTAGTGGGGTATATTTCAATGGAGGGAAGAATTTATGGAATGTAAAGTTTCAAACCAGGAGACAAGGGAAAAATATGGAACTGACCGCAGCAAGTATAATTATCATAATTACTTGTAATATAATCTACAATTTTTTAAATCCTATTTTTGCTTACACTATTTTTAAAAAAAGGAGAGCAATCAAATATCTTGAGAGGGGGTAATGTTTATGAGTCATTGAACTGAGAGGGATGGGTACCCTCTTTTTTTTGTACAATGATTCAACGTTTTTTTTTTTAAGTTTCTGTTTTATTTACTTTTAATATCCCAGTGCCTAGGATTAAATTTCTTTTTTACCATATTTCTCAAATAGCAGTGGTGATAATCATTTCTTTTGACTAATAAAGTTAATTCACAATTAGATTTGATTAAGAAATAAGATAAACAAATGAAAACTTAATGCTGTAAAATTAGAAAATAATTTAATAATCTTGTATTATTTAATGTATAACAGACATGATAATACATTCAAGGTAAGATTTAAACTTCATTAGTATCTGACAAACCAAAAAGAATGAAAGGGCAATTATTATTCTATAATAACGCCCACTATTAGTCACAACCTGTTGTAATGAATAAAAATGTATTATCTTAATAGAATAAACTAATGTTCATCACATCCCCCTGTTTTGAATATTAAGGGGGATATAGAAAAAGAAAAGATGAAAAATATGCAATCCAATGGGTGAGACTTGTAGGAGGAAAGGCCTAAAGGAGTGGAGGAACATACATATTCAACCCAAGACAAAAGGGTTTGATGCTCTCTCTATTTATGTTCGTTGGGGTGGTTTCTCCTATTGTGGCAGATCTTTTACAGAGTTGTGTTGTCGTGAATCCAGGTTAGAAGGATTAAATTTTATTTCAACATGGTCCCACAGAATGAATTTCAACCATTTAATTCTGGCTATAACATGATCAGTGCCGGCCTTAGACATCTGACGCCCTCAGGCAATGATGTCACCTTCTCCCTAAAAAAAAATTAAATTTGTTTCTTAAGCTGTTTTATATAGGATTGGCAAATTAGTCCTTCCGTTTTTTCTGTTTATTTTTGTCGCTATGACACACTTCATATCTGATGAATTAATCCCTGAGGTGGATTGTTTATCCTGTTTGTAATATATCAACAACTATATCTGTTAACCCTTGTTGAAACTAGCTTAGTATTGTGTTTGCTATTGCACTATGAATATGGAAGAAAATATGATTCATTATTGACATATGTTGTTGTATTATTTTTAAAAAAGTAAGTGTGCTGCAGAAGCTCATAGAAAAATTTGCAGTGTTTATGGGGATGATGCCTTAACCAAACTCACCTGACAAAATTGGTTTGCCAAATTTCATTCAGAAAATTTTCACATCAATGATGCTCAATGGTCTGGTCACATACCTGAAATTGAAATGAGCAATGTAAAGGCCATTGTTGATCAAATTCCCACCCAATCAGTGTGAGAAATTGCTATGACCCTAAATGTGTTGGGCACAAGCGTAGAAAACCATTTGCACATGCTGAGCTATGTTTCCAGGCTTAATGTTTGGGTCCCTCACTCTAACCGAAGTCAACTTGGCAGCACACAATTGATTCAATTCTATGCTGCTCACAATTAACAAAATTGGATCAATCAATTAAAAATAAATGCCCAGAACTGGAATTGGAAGTGTGTTGTGTTCCATCAAGACAACACTAGGCCCCACACCTCAAAACCAAAAGGACATATTTGACAACCCAATATTATGTAATATTTGAATTTTCTTTCATTCAATAATTCTCTAACAGTTTTTTTTTATTGATAGGTAAAATTAATTATTTTAATACTTTATGTTTTTTTTTTAATTTCTAGCAAGTGGCGAGCGCCCATGAAGATTGGTGCCCCCAACATGCGCCCATCCAGGTCGGCACTGAACATGGTGATACTACTCCTGTTAATCCACCCTTCCAACTCTAATAGAAATATATGTGGATGTCAAACCCAATTATGAACAACAACATATAACAGACAATTACAAAAGTTCATCTATTTCTTTATAGAAGTAGATATCTTTCCAGAAATGACCGCATTAGAATTAAACTAAGTTTGTTACTCAGCAACTACCACATAGTTATATTTATGTTCTTAGGTACTCCTCGTACCTAAGAACATAAATATAACTATGAACCTAATCATCTCTGAATAAGCTTTTAAGGGAGAGATCTTAAATACTTAAAAATAGAAGATATATGGATATCAGTATTAAGCTGTATGAAAACTTCAAAAGTAATTGATGATTTCAGATAGTTAAAATCAGTTATGGTCTTAAAATAATGATGACAATAATATTCTTTATTTATTCTGGACCAAGTCTTTTTATATTAGAATACAGAAACAGATTTATGGGCTTTAGAGACTCAGAACTAAATAAAAAAGAATTTAAAAAATAAACATAATAGAAATAACTAAAATGTATATACATATTTACAGAAACACCTACTTTTTTTTTTGGGAACTGAGCAGATAGGAAGTGATGGAAAGTGGTGGATTTAAAGGGACAAGAATCGAATAATGAAAGATCTGGTGAAAGTCGCAGTTATGAAGAACAAGAATGAGTGTTGTGAGAGGGAGCAGAGGATTTGAATTAATGGTGCTTGGAGATGATGAAGGACAATGGGTTTGGATGACTTGAAAGATGAAGGATAAAACCACTTGAACTCTTCATAAAAATAGGGGCAGATGGTTTCCCTTGGATCCTGAAGATGAAGCTTACAGGGTTTATAATAGAAATAAGAGCAGAGGAAATTCAGTCACTTTAAGGTAGAAAAGGCACAGCAGGAGATATTTGATACATGTTTTTTTTTTCCAAGAAAGAGGTTGATCAAAGATTATTCCAAGGTTTCTAATGGTAAGATCAAATTTGATGGGATTATACAGTACACAAGGTTGGAATATTAGGAACAAGTTAGAATATAGTCAGTAACATTGCAGAAAAGAATTTTTCTTACCATACTCTGGTACATTAATCAAATCTTGATAAATAAATGCTCCCCACAGTAACATAGTCATACCAGTGATGTCATTTACATATTGCTGCCATCTTCCATCATTCCATGAATTTATTTTAGAAGTTATAAAGTATGGAGATGGAAGATCAGTCTTATTTGAGGAACATCTAGGAGTTGATATTCCTGTAAACAAAAGTTAAAAATACTATTTTTTTCTGAACAGATAAAAACTTTTTCAATTAAATTTTACAATAAAAAAACAATGTCATATTCAAGCCAGATGTAAGATGTGTTTAAAGATAGTTCTACTATAGTAACTATAAATTACAACTATACGATGTCCAGCTGAATAAAATAAACAAAAAAAGAAAGAAAATAAGAATATACACTTATATTTTTGGAGATATACTGGTAATCTAACATAAAATATGTGTTATGTTGTTGTTTATGTGTAAAAAGACATGAACTCGCATATCTGAATTTATCTATGATTTCATATATCAAACAATGCCTTTTTTTTATAGTAACCTTAGATCTAGACAATCTAGTAATCTAATTTATTTCCAATGCCAGACAATTGTCATTAAATTGCACATTGTAGTTATTCTAAGCGGACTTAGCCCCAGAATAAAATTTATTTTTCTTCTTCTTCTAAAATATATGTTAAAATACCATTCCACGATAGATCAACTGGCAAGGATCACATATTTCATAACAAAAGGCTTCAATAAAAATAAACATTTCAGCATGGTGCTATTAGATCTGGAAAACAGTTTCAATATGATTTGGCATATTGAAAAACACAATTAAATGAAATTACACAAAAAATTCTATCTATACCTCATTAATTTTTTCTATTCTTTGCTCTACTATAGAAAATTTCATATTAAAATAAAGACATCTACCTCCAGAATACTTTTTAATGGCTGATCTTCTCAAGGATCCTTTCTGTCGCCGAATCTATTCAATATATTCATCTCAGATTTTAAAAGCTATCCACAAATAATAAGATCCTTTTACACCGATAACATGACATTGTACAATTCTTCTTATCATATTGATACAATATTATAAAATAAATATAATATGATGCAATTAAGAAAAAGAACAACCATGGATCAAAAAATTATGAATATAGAATTATCCTGAGTAAATAGAGACAAGGAATTTTTTCCATGAAGTCAAGAACGTTAAAACAACATATTAGTCAAAGAAAACAATGATAAGGGATGAGAATGGAGCACTGCTTACAGTGGTTGATGAAATAATGAAAAGATGGGAGAGATACTTCAGTGAGCAGTTGAATCCTGCATATGATGAATATGATTGGGATGAATGTGGTCAGGATAATAAGATGGATAAAGAAATACTGAGAAATGATAAAGCCCCAAGAACAGATGGCATCATGGCAGAACTGTGGAAAGTGGCTGGATCCGAAATGAACATTGAATTATGCAAGCTGGTAGCCCATTTATGGCAAGAAGAAAGAATATCCTGAAAAATGGAAGGAATCCATAGTCTTCCCAGTATTTAAGAAGAAAGGTGATTCCACAGAGTGCTCTAATTATAGAGGGATCAGTATCTTGAATGTTGCAAATAAAGTCTTTGCTATTGCACTTTATAACTGTCTAATACCCTACTTGGAGACATAGTAGAATTTCGTGAAAATATCTCTACAATAGGGGCCAGGGTAACAATACGGGCTAAAGCACTTGCAATAGGTAATGAAAGTTAAGCAATGTCGAGCAGGTTAGTACGTGGATGGGTGACCATCCACCAGGGAAAGCCAAGTTGCCCAAGATTCCTTCCCCACCCTTGGGTATGAGACTCATCAGGCTGCCGGAGGCAACTCATACTGCAGAGATGTGAGCGACCCCTGTGTATTACACAGCTCCTGGTCCTCCAGGTTGGGGGTTGGGCATAGGGCTAATAACCCTATCCCGTCAAAAACACGATTTTACAGAACCGAAAATCAGCCTCGGAACGGAATGGTTACGACCCCAGCTTTGTATAACATACTCCATATTGGGTCATGGAATGTTTGGAGCTTATACAGACCAGGTTAAGTAAAAAGGTATACCCTACCGTTAACTGCCATACAAGAAGTAAGGTGGCCAGATGGTGGTGAAACCACTATAGACGACTACTCACTGTTCTACACTGGGAGAAACGACATAAATGGGACACCTGGCACTGGATTTATAATTAGTCTGGCTGCATGGAAGTCAGTAATAAACTTAACCCCAGTTAATGAAAGGATAAGTGTGCTGTGCATTAGAGGTTTCTGGTTTAACATCAAGATTATTAACGTGTAGGCACCAACCAAAGAAAAAGAGGATGAGATGAAGGAAGATTTCTACAATCAGTTTGAAAAAGTTGTGGACCAGGATCCAACATATGACATAAAATTAGAAGACTTCGATGTCAAGATAGGTCGAGAAACCCAATTTAGGCCCATCGTTGGAAGCCAAAGCTTCCACTAAACCAGCAATGAAAATGGAGCCAGATGTATCACTTTGGCAGTAGCTAAAGGTCTAGTAGTAAGCAGTCTGAGATTCCCGCACAAGGACATACATAAGTACACTTGGGTAAGCCCTAAAGGTGCAAAAAGCCAAATCAACCTCGTGATGATAGACAAGAGGCATCAAAGCTCCATAGAAGACAGAAGGAGCCTCATAGCCTTAAGAACATTGTCAAGAAGGTGGGATCCAGAGTGCTGTTCTCTTCATCAACTCTCAAGCAGCCATCCTCGCTGTTACAAACACGAATGAATGTCTATCGAGTACTGTATTGGAATGCAAATCCCTCCTCTCTAACCTGACACTCTGAGGCACCAATGTGGTCCTACAGTCAATCCCCAGCCATTGTGGGAATCCGGGAAACATTGAGGCTGGTAGTCTTGCCAAGCGAGGGACAGATTTGCCTCAGCCGATACATCCAAAACCTTATGATTCAATACGACGAATGGTAAAGATGGTAGTGAAGGAAGAAATATATATATTAAAAAATCTAAATTATACTGGGCTGCAAGAGGTCAGATGGCCAAATGACCAACGACTGGCATAAGAGAAAAAAACATCATAGTAAAGACTGAATTATTTCTAAGCAGTGAAATGTTACAGAAGTAAACAAACATTATTGTTTGGAAGAGGATTAATGAGTGTTGACATTCATACAAATGAATTATCCAGTAAACGTAAGCAGTTTTTTATAATGAGGGGTATTTTAAAGAAAACTCGAAATCCTGCATTATTTTCCCGACAACTCAGTAGTACTACACAGAGTTGTTGGCAGGACAGGACTGAACCACGAAAATACAATATTTACCAGAATGGTACATAGTATACATGGTACATAGTATAAATAGTACCTATTGCAGTAAATTTTGTTCATCTTATTATAAGATATAATATTTAATTAATGATATATCTGCTAGTCTTAAATTGAAAGTTTTGTAAGTGATATTAATTTAATAATAAAGTTAAATATTAATCATGTCAATTATTTCCCTTTTTTTCACTTATGCACAATATAATTTTGTTTATGTGTCTTTGTTATATTTTTTATTTATGTTATTCATAACATTATTCGTAGCATGTGCAGATGACATTGCATATGGATTAATCACGTCATTTGGATGGAAAACTGCAGGTGCCCTTTTACTGGAACACGTTTGGTGGTAAAAGACCCAGATCATGATGGAAGGATGGTGTCCGCATAGACATGAGACAGGTAGGGATTAGTGTAATACAGATAAAATCATTTGGGACAAAATGAATTAGCAGATCAAGGACCACTTTATGGGTCTGTCGGGGCATTAAAGAAGAAGAAGAAATAGAATATGATACAATAATATTATATTTATATTATTGATATAATATTATACAATAAATATGTGAAAATTGGAAATTAAAAATAAACCCAAGTAAGTCCAAAGCCATAATCTTTACAAAGTGCATGCTTCATATATTTTCTTTAATTTAGATTAGATTCTTTGGTCTAAAACAATAAATTCCAAGTTTACCCCTAAAAACAAACTCACACTTTATAAAACAGTTGTCCAAGTTCTGATCTGTTATGTTTCATCTATGTGGAGCTCGACTTATAGAATTTATCACAAAAAACTTAAAAGATTTCAAAATTTATGTGAAAGGATCATCAAAATCTCTTTCTTTTATTGTATTTATTTTATTGTCTGATTTACTCATTTCTTCTTCCTTACATCTTAAGGTGGATTAACGGCAACTTGAAATTTTGGAGCTTAACCTAGATAGAAATGATTTTGAATAATCATAACTCGAAATAAGGTATATTTTGCATCTCTTGCTTTTACATAAAACATTATTCAATAATTTTCCATTATGGCAGTATGAACATCTTTTTTATCACTGATTTCCACACTGTGCACCTGGAATTGTTCATGGTTCACATTTCATCCACAAGTTGATGTTTATATTTCTACTCCTTCTTTTTGTTGTTTTTTTCATGTGACCAAAGTTTAAAACCTGAATTGAATTATTTTGAACTGTGCTATAATTATTCTGGACTCTGATTAATTAATTATCTTGACGACTCTGGTTTTTGAGATGCTATTTCCATGTTAACCAGAGGACCCACTTTTTCATCACATGACATGCTGACTGTTTAGTATTCTCCAGTAGCAATATTTTTTAGATATTTGATGCAAGTTTCTATAATTCAAATATGGCTCCATATTTAGAAAGATCAGAACAAACATTAGTTCTAGCATTCATGCGATTCTGTAGAATCAACCATCTATGAGCAGAATCCAGCCAAGTGTGAGTTTAAGTTTGAGGGTTTTCAGAAGTTTAGGCCTAATCAGATAAAATAAGTATCGATTTCCAGCCTAAAAAGCATAAATTACTTGGTTGTTTAAACTTATTGTCAACAACTTACGACTTCTTCTTCTTCCTTCTCCCCATTCAAATGGCTAAGTCAGGAAATGATAGAATAAAGTTGATGGTACTCTTGAAATTCTCCAGATCGTCGTATAGCTTGGGCACCAAATCAGTCGATTCAGGCCATTTCCGCTTCCGTTGTTCCTCCATTAGGATGCAAGTCTGGAGAATGTGTTCAGTTGTTTGCTCACTTCTTCCACATTCCCAGAAAGGGATTTGACCAATTTTAAATTCTTTGTAGAGGTGTGAGTTAAGTCTGTCATGCCCAGTTATAAGTGGTAAAATTATAACTTGTTCTTTCCTTAACAGTGAGTAATATGGATCCTGAAGTTAGAAGTCTGGATGCTGATTGTTCCACCTCTGCTCAATCGATGTTTTTTTTATCATTTTAACTTCCTCAAGTCAAGGTACAGAGGTGGTTTTGAGTAATTTGGAACCTTTCTTTGCAAGTTTAAAAGCTAATTCATTTAGTCATTCCATGATGCCAGGGATCCACTGCAGGGTGACTTATTCATAGCTGCAAGGTGTTGCAACTCAGTAGCAATCAATGATAGCCCCATATTCTTCTTAGACTTTAGGCTCAAAACAACCGAAGCTGCGTCAATTAGAAAAATGACTTTTGATTTCCGAAGGTCTATTGAAATTCTGGCTGCCTCCAGTATTGACTCATCCTCGTTTCTATAGTTTGTTGAGTTGGATCCCATAGCAATTGATTTTTCAAGTAAGTGGCCCCTTGTAAATTCTATGTGGATACCTCTGCCTTCATTCCTAATAGAATTTTCTTCTGAACAATTTGGTCCAAATGTTTTTCGGGCAGGTGGGGCTTATATGCGGGGAAGTTTCTTGGCTTAAGCCCTCAGTTCAATTAAATACTTTTAGAACTAGAGTATTCAAATTGTTTTTATTGAAAGTTCAACCAATAATACCTTTACCCTAAAACATCACTTTTTAAAATTACAAACTAAAAAAAAATTACAAGTGAAGGTGTTATGTTACGATTGTATTATTTATCACAATTGAAATATGCCTAAATTTTAAAAATATGAAAGTTACCATTGCAATAGTCGGATGGAAGGAGGCGATTGAAGGGCTGGCCGCTGGCACCCCATATAGGGTGTGCTAAGTTGTTGCACATTCCGTTGGTGAAGCGGTACTTGGACAACGAACATGAAGTGAACTTCTTCAAAGTGATATCTTCAAAGCTAGGATCTTCTTTCAAGCTAATAAAAACAGCAAAAAAAATATATATATATATATATATATATATATATATATATATATATGTGTGTGTCATTTATTAAAATACAATTGTGTCCTATTACAGTAAATTCTGTTCATCTTATTATAAGATGCAATATTTAATTAATGATATGCCTGCTAGTCTTAAATTGAAAGTTTTGTAAGTAATGTTAATTTAATAATAAAGTTAAATATTAATCATGTCAATTATTTCTCTTTTTTTCAGTTAAGCGCAATATAATTTTGTTTATGTGTCTGTGGGTAGTCATGTGTTAAACTTCAGAATCACATATATAAGACTTTTTTTATTTTTTATTTATGTTATTCATGACATTACTTGCATTATCTAAAATTATCATTGTTTGATCGTGTGCTTGTGCATGGTCTTTAAACAAATTTTTGTAAACAAAAATTTTTTGACATGGATTTTTTTTTTGGGGGGGGGCTGGGAGAAGACTAAGTAATGATGAATTACTAAATGGCAGAATTTTGGTAGTAAACTCGAAGGGTATACCTATTTTGAAGAGGTCATGTGTTTTATTAACTTATAAAAAGCTATTCTCTTTAAATTTGTTCCATGGCTATTGACTCTGAGCTTTACACTCAATAGCTAAATGGAAAAAAATAATTTTTTGATGAGGCAATTTCTCTACATACCTTTTACTTTTTACTTAGAAAAAATATGTTAAAATAGAAAATACACAAAATATGGAGGTGGCAATGTGCTTCGTCCTAGCTTTAGTCCTCGTTTCGCACCATCTGACTACAAACTCTTTCAATGGCACATTTTTTCTTATGTAAAACGGAAACTAGGATAATGTTAAATTAGGATGCTTGGAGCAAAATATCTTATTGAATGCCAATATGGTTTCATCTAACTCTTCTTTTAGCGGAAGGATGGATGTGAGATTGTAACTTCCAGCTTATTATTTTATTCTGGAAATAAAATAATTTGATCTAGGTCACCTGGAAACGTTTTATAATTAGTTATTTTTTAAATGTTTTTTTTTTTTAATTAACTGGGTTTATTTATTTTTGGAAGAATATAAATTCCTCAATGTTTAACCCTTCCCTTCCTCTATTAATAAGTATAATACTTGGCTTATACTTATATTGAACAGATTTAAAATTTTTGTTGATGTTCTATTTCCTCCTCTTTTTATTTTTTGTCAAAAATTATAATACCGCAATATTAAAGATTAAGTTGTACACATATTATATAATGAGAATAAGGATAAAACAATTATATTGAAAATATCAAAATATGCCATTTGTGGTCAATCAATAATAATGCCGACTAGTTTACCAAGTGTACAGGAAAACAAATAAAAACATTATAAGTATATATACATACCAACATAAATATATTACAAAATAAAAACCCTTCTTCAATATCATAATAAATTTAACTTGTTACATACCTTAGTGACTTAAGCGATTTTGGTATTTGATATCTTTCTTCTGCTTCTGGTTGTTCAAGTGTTTTTATTTGGTTCGGGGATGCTATAAAAACACATTAGACATAAGTAAGTTGGTAAATTTTGTGCCCACAGATAATAAATATTCAGGATCGACCAATACAGAAATATATTGTCTTTTTTTTTTTCATTCCTTCAAGTTTGTATAATTTTACTTGTAATATCCTCCTTATTGCAGAATAAGCTATCAATCAATCATCTTGAGATTGACCTATATACAAATTCTAGCCAATAAAAGAGTGATATATTGCTATTTCGGCCTTTCCTTCCTATCTCTCATGGTCAGTACAGTGTTCCTAAGGCCACACAGTGTGACAGATAACCAATCTAGACGGAAAAAATTCTAACACTTGAGATTTATTTTATTTATCTAATTTATTTAAACATTATAAAGGGAAAAGTAAATAAATAAGAAACTTCAATTAAGTTTTATGTATGTATATATATAAAATGAATATGATATTGTTTTAAAATTGTACTTGATAATAGTGGATCCAATACCGACCTAGGCAGAAAATATATTTTAAAATACAGTATTTTAAATACCAATAAAAAAACTGTATGTAACTGTATTTCAATTAAAAAGTATTTACATTTTTTGAGAAAAAGTATTTCAAATATAAAATAAGAAAAGTATTTTGAATTTTAATTAAAAAAGAATAAGATACAAATATAAAATACATACTTCTCATAAAATGGCGCTTTCCAATAATATCTTAAGAAATTGTGTTTGTTCTGGTGAGGAAAGGAATTATGAGATTAGAGGAGAGTTGATGTACTTTTAAAATATTAAATCATTTTATTCAATTAATATTATTTCTGAACAATTTATAATAAAGTGATGCCGGATAAAATTATTTAATTAGAATTACACATCTAAAAATATGTATTCATAAAATGTGTAATGTTAAAGGCTTACGAAATATAATTATATCAACTTATGCACTTTTTTATTAAATATATTTTTAAGATTTATGTAATTAGATAATTAGGAAATGTTTATTAATTAATGTCATTGGTTAATTATAGATGTTTATTAATTCTAAGGGTTAATTTAGAAATGTACTTTAAGATATATAACTGCTTGAATTGAATAATGTCTATCTTTAACTTTATCAATAATTAGAATGATTCATACCTTTTTTCAAGGGAAGTTGAAGAAGATCACTTCCGTTAAAGTCCTCCGCTATGTCACTAGGGTACAATAATATCGCTAGGACACCTAATAGTGTACATGTCAATCTGTAATTATAGTTCAAAAATGTTAATAATAGAGGCAATCACATTAATTTCACTTTACTCCAATTTTAAAACTTACAAAACAGACACGCAAATATAACACTGGTACTGTCGAACTTTCCTTTTGAAGGCTCCCTGTCTGTCGCTCATAAAAGAATAAGGAACATAATTGTTTGACCCTCTCAAAGGGGTCTTTTCGTTGACAAACATCACCAACCTAGAACAGACATATTATTAAATTGGAAGTCTCAAAAATAAAACAAATAAAATGATGAGTACATAGGAAAAGTTTAAATACAGAAATCTTATCATCCGCTAAAAACACGGTAAGAGCATATGTAATGTTTAATAAGTTGCGTTAGTTAAATGTAATAGATTTTTTTTCTGGAAAGGAGATCTCTATCAGGATCGACAAGCAGAGGTTCTTAGTGTTTGATTCTCTTCTTGTTGAAAATAAAACAAGGGTTAAACAAATAAAGAAACAGAAGGTGTAAACAATAAATAACAGCATAACAGACTAAAGTTGAATAAATTCCAGGGACCAACATAGGAATGTTAGGAACTTTTGATATGCAGACAAGATACATATATTCAGAGTGTTTCAAGGTTAAGTGGCCAAACTGCAAAAATGATAAGGAATTAAGGTCATTGATTGGACTTGCATAGACTTTTTGTTTAATGTCATCACAAACAAAAAAATCCAGTGGGATTGAGGGACTTAAAGCTATAAATGATAGAAAGGAATGGATGTATCTTAGAATTCAAACCGCTTTCGATATGATTAAGGGTCTCCCTGCTAGAAAGGGATTTTTTATGGTTAGGGCTTCAGAAATTAAAGCACAACTGGAGGAATTTGAAGCGGTGTTGAACAAGATTTCGGTGCTAAATGAATCGTTAGAGAAGAAACATAGGATAGAAATAAATGCACCTTCTTTAGCAGCAGAGGAACTTTATTATGAGATAAAAGTTGAGCATGAGAAATTAATTAAAGCTGAGCACATAGTTTCCGCTTCTCAACCCATGTCTGAACCAGTAGCGCATCCTAAATTGCCAGATCTATAAATTCCTCAATTTTCTGGACAGTACGAACAATTTCCTTCTTTTAAATCATTATTTGATGCCTTAATTCATCATCGAAATTACATGGATATTGTAAAATTTTCTTATCTTAAATCACTTTTAGTTCATCCTGCTTCATAGGCCATTTCTTCAGTTGAGTTGAAAATTAAAAATTACAGCTTGGCGTATGATAAATTAGTAAAGCGTTATAGTAATAAAAGAATCATTGTAGCCTATCATCTTAACTAAATTAAAAATAATATCTCCTGCCTGCAGTAAAAATAATATCTCTTTTAGCGGCTGAAAAACGTAACGATTTGTCTGTAAAAATATTGGAGCCTTTTAAAGGTGCAAAGGGTTTTTGCTTTCATTTTAAAATTTATTAAATGTTGCCGAGATCGGGAGGAAGATGTTTTCACTGTTGAAACCTTGACTGCTGACGATCTTAAGGATTCCTTGATAATTTATGTCAGACTGGTTTAGAGGAAATTCTTCACTGAATTAATTGATTGTCTTGAAGGTGGAAAATCATATAAGGGCTTGTTAAACAGGCTCACACCATTTTTGGATAAGGCCGGAGCTCTCAGGGTGGGAGGTAGATTGAACTATTCCACAATTGAAGACGAAAGTAAGCACCCGCTGCTGATAAATAAAGATTCTCATTTAGGTTTTCTTTCTCAGTCTTTTAGGATTCTGATCGCAGTCTTTTTGTGTGACCACTACCACAGGTTTTCCTTGCATGGTGGGCTCCTATTGGACCAGTCGCTCATCCATCCCCGATTTTGGATCACTTCTCTAAGAAGCCGTATTTATAAATTTTTTACGTGACACAAAAATAATACGAAGCCAGAGGCTCCAAAAATGAGTTACTTAACATCTGTCAGGGTGACCGACTATAGACTTAGAATAGACTATGGCGGCCCCTTCATTATGAAGATTTCCAGTAAGCGCAATGCACCTAAATTGAAATGTTGGTTAGTTCTTTTTGTGTGCATGTCCACCAAGGCCATCTAAAACTTGTGACGGACCTATCCACTCCTTCATTTATTGCCACATTAGGTAGATTTATTACCAGACTTGGTTTCCCTTCGCATCTTTATAGTGACTGCGGAATAAATGTCGTTGGAGCATCCAAAAATTTGAAGGAGGTTTATCAATTTGTTAAGGGCCAGAGCGAATCCATTTCTGACCATTTGGGTCGGACGGGTATAAAGTGGACCTTTACTCCTCCAGCATCTCCTCATTTCGGAGGTATTGGAGAGACAGCTATTAAATTCGCAAAGAGACACCTTCTTTCCGTTCTACAGGATCATGCGTTGACCTATGAGGGATTTTATACTCTTCTGGTACGAGTTGAAGCCGTTCTCAATTCCCATCCTATCTGTAATATTAGCAGTCAGCCTTCGGATAACCTAAACTACCTCACCCCAGGACACTTATAGGTCGATCCCTCCTAGACAGACCAGAACAAGAAAATGCACCTGTGTTTCCATTGATAATCCGTTGGAACATGATTTCCAAGACTTCGCAATTTTTGGGAGAGATGGTATAATGAATACCTCCACAATCTGGTGCATCGCAACAAGTGGTATAGTGACAGGGAAAATTTAAAAGAGGGAACCGTTGTAGTTCTACATGAAAAAGATGTTCCACTGCTGGGGGTTGGCGGCTTGCCAGGATAATATAGACACTTTCAGCGTCTGACAGAGTAGTTAGGGTGGTAAAATTGAGGACTGCTACATCCACTTTGGTGCGACCGGTTCACAAGTTAGTGCCTCGCTCTTCTGGAGAAACCTTTTTGTTGGAGACCAATGCTGCATGTGTAGGAGAAGGGGGTTATTAACAATAACTATCACCAAGATTGTAAATCATCCTGGCAACACTTTTGTTTGTTTGTAATCTTCTTAATAACTTTTTCATCTGTTTATTAATGCCAGTATGTATAGTGTTATAATTGATTTATTTCAGAAGTAAATTTTCGTTTTGTTTACATTGTGTTTCTTTTTCATCATCACCAAATTCCCAGAACTCTAACAATTGAATGCTTGAATTTAATGAGGAGTCGTTTTATTTTAAATTAATTGTAATTGATTAGCCTATCTTTGATTTGGTTCATTTTATTCCTAATTTTCCAAAAATCCATTTTGAACAATTCTCTCTTTCTTTATTGAGAACCAAACAATTTTCCTCTTGTTTGTGCCTACCCTGGTAATCACCAATCCCTGAGTTTGGTTTTTCTTTTTTTTTTTTTTTTTTTTGTGAAATGAAATATTTTACGATGGGCGATATGTTTGAGCAAAGATATTTCCCAATTGTCTCGTTACGGCGAGTGGTGTAGGCAGATCAAAAGATTTAAAAGATAAAATTTAATCTGTAAGAGTTGCCGGTAAGATTGCCTTATCCCAGCACAGATAGCCAGAGACAACAGATGCTCCGAGTGCGCCCTCAGATAAAGATGTCTGTACCAACGTAAAAATGGTAAGCTGTATTTGCCCAATTCGTATAACCTTAAAATACAATGCCTAAATAAGTAGAATGTTGCCTTTTAAGAACTCATAAGAGTTATTTGCCTTGCCTTAGTTATTTAGAAAGTCGCCTAAACATTTTCAGAGGAATTTTATTTCTTGTTTTGAGGTCCTTAGTTCATTTTTGCAGTTTGGCCATTTAACCATGAAACATCCTGTATATAGGTTGTCCCGTAAGTAGAGAAAGATTTTTATAGGAGTGATAGAAGACCTCAATGACTTCAAAAAAGTTCATATAAGCAGGGCCAATTCTCAGCAGGAGTAGGAAATCAAAGTTTACAGTTTTTTAAGTAAGTCGTCCTTTTTGATGAAAAGGAAGTGATGATTGAAGAAATATTCAATTTAAGTACTTAACAATTATTTCACTGTAAACTAGTTAAAATTTTCTTCAAATAAAAATATAATTTGTCATTGTTAAAACCATTTAAAGGCGACTTTTGAGAGGCTTAATTTTGCTAAATTCTGTTTTAAAAAAAATCAATAATTATTGGCGATTTTTTAAAATCATTATCTTACTATACTACAGATACCCCACTTTTAGAAAAACTTCTTCGTTTAAAAAGCTTCAAGTTCATATTAATTGAATGTGATTTATTAGGCAAATTCTTGAGATTCATCTAAAGTTGTGTAAAGAAATGTTGTGATTTTTCATCTTGTGACCTAAAAGTACCTGTGCTTTCAACAAAATTGACTACAATTAAATGCTGCAAAGCTTTTATTTCTTGTTTTTCCATGATCTGGGATATATTATAACAAAAATAATATCCTAAATACACTTTTTATTTATGAATTAAAAAAAATTATTACTAATCTACTATATCCTTGATTTATGAGCACATAAAAATGAAATAAGATTTGAGAAACATTGTTTTAATTAATTTTTTTATGTCTTAGTTTTTTCCTTTTTTGTTTATTATGGAAATAAACCACTGCCTTAAATTATTGTACTGCATTAAACAATAAAGCTGGACAATAGCAAAAACTATATTTGCTGTTTTTACGAAATTTTAATAGTGAAGAACATAAATAAGGAGGTTCACAACAAAAATTTAAAGTTTTACATCTATAACGCAGAAATGATTAATCTTTATAACCCAAAAAAGTTTGGTACATTTCATGTTTACTTATTATTTTTATAGCATAATATTGTTAATACACAATTTTCGGGAATCAATGGTCTGATGAGCCTCCCTTATTTTTATCACCTCTCGTAGATGGTTATTTATCACCAAAACCAATTTTTTAGTGACTTCAGGCTCATGTTTTTAATCTTCATTTTTTTTCAGTCTTCGCTATAGTTCATGCCGTAGATATTCGATTGGGTTCAGGTCCGGTGATTGGGGTGGAGATTTTAATCGCTTGGTGAATTATGGAGAAGCCACCCTTCGAATTTCTGCGCTGGATGCTCCGGGTCATTGTATTGTTGAAAAATAAATGATGACCTAATACCAAGATTAATTGCATTTGATTTTAAATTGTCTTTTAGTTTGTCTATGTCCACATATTGGTCCATTATAACGTCAATAATTTTAAAAATAAGTTTTCCCTCGCCAGATGCACCCATATAGCCCCAAACCATGATTCCACCTACTCCATGCAAGCTAGTGGGACACAAATTTTTAGCTGCTAACGC